CAAACAGAGACCCATAGACTCACCACACAGAGACCCATAGACTCACCACACAGAGACCCATAGACTCCCCACACAGAGACCCATAGACTCACTACACAGAGACCCATAGACTCACCACACAGAGACCCATAGACTCACCACACAGAGAGCCTCATAGACTCACCACACAGAGACTCATAGACTCACCACACAGAGACCCATATACTCACACACAGAGACCCATAGACTCATCACACAGAGACCCATAGACTCACACACAGAGACCCATAGACTCATCACACAGAGAGCCATAGACTCATCACACAGAGACCCATAGACTCACCACACAGAGAGATTCATAGACTGACCACACAGAGACTCATAGACTCACCACACAGAGACCGATAGACTCACACACAGAGACCCATAGACTCATCACACAGAGAGCCATAGACTCATCACACAGAGGGCCATAGACTCATCACACAGAGAGCCATAGACTCATCACACAGAGAGACTCATAGACTCACCACACAGAGACCCATAGACTCACCACACAGAGACCCATAGACTCGCCACACAGAGATCCATAGACTCACCACACAGAGACCCACAGACTCACCACACAGAGACCCATAGACTCATCACACAGAGACCCATAGACTCACACACACAGACCCATAGACTTATCATACAGAGAGCCATAGACTCACCACACAGAGACCCATAGACTACTCACACAGAGACCCACAGACTCACCACACAGAGACCCATAGACTCACTACACAGAGACCCACAGACTCACCACACAGATACCCATAGACTCACCACACAGAGAGCCACAGACTCACCACACAGAGCCACAGACTCACCACACAGAGACCCATAGACTCACCACACAGAGAGACCCATAGAATCACACACTGAGACCCATAGACTCATCACACAGAGAGCCATAGACTCATCACACAGAGACCCATAGACTCATCACACAGAGAGACTCATAGACTCACCACACAGACCCATAGGCCCACCACTCAGAGACCCACAGACTCGCCACACAGAGACCCATAGACTCCCCACACAGAGACCCATAGACTCACTACACAGAGACCCATAGACTCACCACACAGAGACTCATAGACTCACCACACAGAGACCCACAGACTCACCAAACAGAGACCCACAGACTCATCAAACAGAGACCCATAGACTCACCACACAGAGACCCATAGACTCACCACACAGAGACCCATAGACTCCCCACACAGAGACCCATAGACTCACTACACAGAGACCCATAGACTCACCACACAGAGACCCATAGACTCACCACACAGAGAGCCTCATAGACTCACCACACAGAGACTCATAGACTCACCACACAGAGACACATATACTCACACACAGAGACCCATAGACTCATCACACAGAGAGCCATAGACTCATCACACAGAGACCCATAGACTCACCACACAGAGAGATTCATAGACTGACCACACAGAGACTCATAGACTCACCACACAGAGACCGATAGACTCACACACAGAGACCCATAGACTCATCACACAGAGAGCCATAGACTCATCACACAGAGGGCCATAGACTCATCACACAGAGAGCCATAGACTCATCACACAGAGAGACTCATAGACTCACCACACAGAGACCCATAGACTCACCACACAGAGACCCATAGACTCGCCACACAGAGATCCATAGACTCACCACACAGAGACCCACAGACTCACCACACAGAGACCCATAGACTCATCACACAGAGACCCATAGACTCACACACACAGACCCATAGACTTATCATACAGAGAGCCATAGACTCACCACACAGAGACCCATAGACTACTCACACAGAGACCCACAGACTCACCACACAGAGACCCATAGACTCACTACACAGAGACCCACAGACTCACCACACAGATACCCATAGACTCACCACACAGAGAGCCACAGACTCACCACACAGAGAGCCACAGACTCACCACACAGAGACCCATAGACTCACCACACAGAGACCCATAGACTCACCACACAGAGAGACCCATAGAATCACACACTGAGACACATAGACTCATCACACAGAGAGCCATAGACTCATCACACAAAGACCCATAGACTCATCACACAGAGAGACTCATAGACTCACCACACAGACCCATAGACTCCCCACACAGAGACCCATAGACTCACTACACAGAGACCCATAGACTCACCACACAGAGACACATAGACTCGCCACACAGAGAGACTCATAGACTCACCACACAGAGACTCATAGACTCACCACACAGAGACCCATATACTCACACACAGAGACCCATAGACTCATCACACAGAGAGCCATAGACTCATCACACAGAGACCCATAGACTCACCACACAGAGAGATTCATAGACTGACCACACAGAGACTCATAGACTCACCACACAGAGACCGATAGACTCACACACAGAGACCCATAGACTCATCACACAGAGAGCCATAGACTCATCACACAGAGGGCCATAGACTCATCACACAGAGAGCCATAGACTCATCACACAGAGAGACTCATAGACTCACCACACAGAGACCCATAGACTCACCACACATAGACCCATAGACTCGCCACACAGAGATCCATAGACTCACCACACAGAGACCCACAGACTCACCACACAGAGACCCATAGACTCATCACACAGAGACCCATAGACTCACACACACAGACCCATAGACGTATCATACAGAGAGCCATAGACTCACCACACAGAGACCCATAGACTACTCACACAGAGACCCACAGACTCACCACACAGAGACCCACAGACTCATCACACAGAGACCCACAGACTCACCACACAGAGACCCATAGACTCACTAACACAGAGACCCATAGACTCACTCACACAGAGTCATATACTCACCACCCAGAGACCCATAGACTCACCACACAGAGACCCACAAACTCACCACAAAGAGACCCATAGACTCACCACACAGAGACCCACAGACTCACCACACAGAGACTCATAGACTCACCACACAGAGACCCATAGACTCACACACACAGACCCATAGACTTATCATACAGAGAGCCATAGACTCACCACACAGAGACCCATAGACTACTCACACAGAGACCCACAGACTCACTCACACAGAGACCCACAGACTCACACAGAGACCCATAGAGACCACACAGAGACCCACAGACTCATCACACAGAGAGCCACAGACTCATCACACAGAGAGCCATAGACTCACCACACAGAGACCCATAGACTCACTACACAGAGACCCACAGACTCACGACACAGAGACCCATAGACTCACCACACAGAGAGCCATAGACTCACCACACAGAGAGCCATAGACTCACACACACAGATACCCATAGACTCACCACACAGAGACCCATAGACTCACCACACAGAGACCCATAGACTCATCACACAGAGACCCACAGACTCACCACACAGAGACCCATAGACTCACCACACAGAGACCCATAGACTCACCACACAGAGACCCATAGACTCATCACACAGAGACCCACAGACTCACCACACAGAGACCCATAGACTCACCACACAGAGACCCATAGACTCATCACACAGAGACCCATAAACTCATCACACAGAGACCCATAGACTCACCACACAGAGACCCATAGACTCACCACACAGAGACCCATAGACTCATCACACAGAGACCCATAGACTCACACAGAGACCCATAGACTCGCCACAGAGAAACAAGGGGGATACGTGTGACACGTGTGTGTGACACGTGTGTGTGTGTGACACGTGTGTGTGACAGTTGACAAGGGTGACACGTGTGTGTGCGTGACACGTGTGTGTGTGTGTGACACGTGTGTGTGTGTGACACGTGTGTGTGACACGTGTGTGTGTGTGTGACACGTGTGTATGTGTGTGACACGTGTGTGTGTGTGACACGTGTGTGTTTGTGACAGGTGACAAGGGTGACACGTGTGTGTGTGACACGTGTGTGTGTGTGACACGTGTGTGTGTGACACGTGTGTGTGTGTGTGTGACACTTGTGTGTGTGTGACACGTGTGTGTGTGTGACACGTGTGTGTGTGACACGTGTGTGACACGTGTGTGTGTGACACGTGTGTGTGTGACACGTGTGTGTGTGTTACACGTGTGTGTGTGTGACACGTGTGTGTGTGTGTGTGACACGTGTGTGTGTGTGTGACACGTGTGTGTGTGTGACACGTGTGTGTGTGACACGTGTGTGTGTGACACGTGTGTGTGACACGTGTGTGTGTGTGACACGTGTGTGTGACACGTGTGTGTGTGATACGTGTGTGTGACATGTGTGTGTGTGTGACACGTGTGTGTGTGACACGTGTGTGTGTGACACGTGTGTGTGACACGTGTGTGTGTGTGACACGTGTGTGTGTGTGACACGTGTGTGTGACATGTGTGTGTGTGACACGTGTGTGACACGTGTGTGTGTGTGTGACACGTGTGTGTGACACGTGTGTGTGTGTGACACGTGTGTGTGACACGTGTGTGTGTGACACGTGTGTGTGACATGTGTGTGTGTGTGACACGTGTGTGTGTGTGACACGTGTGTGTGACACGTGTGTGTGTGTGACACGTGTGTGTGACACGTGTGTATGTGTGTGTGACACGTGTGTGTGTGACACGTGTGTGTGTGTGACACGTGTGTGTGACACGTGTGTGTGTGTGACACGTGTATGTGTGTGACACGTGTGTGTGTGTGTGACACGTGTGTGTGTGTGACACGTGTGTGTGTGTGTGACACGTGTGTGTGTGACACGTGTGTGTGTGTGTGACACGTGTGTGTGACACGTGTATGTGTGTGACACGTGTATGTGTGTGTGTGACACGTGTGTGTGACAGGTGATAAGGGTGACACGTGTGTGTGTGACACGTGTGTGTGTGTGTGTGACACGTGTGTGTGTGACACGTGTGTGTGTGTGACACGTGTGTGTGTGTGTGTGACACGTGTGTGTGTGTGTGTGACAGGTGATAAGGGTGACACGTGTGTAAATTGCCAGAGCCCATTCCCTCCCAGCGTCCCCTCTACACAGGGGCCCCCAGGGCCGCCTGGAGCCCCTGGGCAACCAGGTGACACACACACACACACACGTGTTACACACACACACGTGTTACACACACACACACGTGTTACACACACACACACACGTGTTACACACACACACATGGTACACACACACATGTTACACACACATGTTACACACACGTGTTACACGCACACGTGTTTCACACAAACACATGTTACACACACAAATGTCACACACACATGTTACACACACACGTGTTACACACACACACACACGTGTTACACACACACACGTACACACACACGTGTTACACACACACACGTATTACACACACACACACACGTACACACACACACGTGTTGCACACACACACACAAATGTGTTACGCACATACACGTGTCACACACACACACACGTGTTACACACACACACGTACACACCCGCACGTGTTACACACACACGTGTCACACACACACACACGTGTTACACACACACACACGTACACACACACACACACACGTGTTACACACACACACGTACACACACACACGTGTTACACACACACACACATGTTACACACACACACGTGTCACACACACACACACAAACGTACACACACACGTACAGACACGTATACAACAACAACCGCCATTCGCCACTAAGTGGCGGTGACGTCACCACGACACTTGTGCCAGGCCATGTGCACCTTGAGGCCACGTGAAGTGTCGAACGCCCGCGGGCAAGAGGTCACGGGGCAGACCCAGGTGCCACGGGTCGACTGACTGAGATGACTGGCTGATGCACCACCTGTGCGCCCTACTGTGGTAACCTGCTGTGCTTTAGCCACCCGGCGCTCCGCTCATTGTTGTGAGCGTCGCTCCTCCGCCCTCCGTTGTTGTTGGAGGGCGACTGCCTCCAACTGCCCAGTAGCAGCGTCCTTCACGAGCCTCCTCCTCTACAGAGGCCGATCTTGACACCGCTGGTACCAGTCATCGGCAAGTCCACTCAGCTCCACGTCCTCCTTTACCACATCGCTCCATCTCTTCTCTAGCCCGTGTCGCGCCCGTTTAGCCCCCTCAATCCGGCCGAACAAAAGCTGTTTCGGCATGCGGTGGCTGGGCATACGGGCTACATGACCCAGCCAACGCAGCCTTGCCTGCCGGAGGAGCTCACCGATGGGACCGTGCCCAGATCTTTCAATTTACACACACACACGTACACACACACGTACACACACACACGTACACACACACACACACACGTACACACACACACGTACACACACACGTACACACACACACGTACACACACACGTACACACACACACACGGTCACAAAGACACACACACACACACGTACACACACGTACACACACACGTACACAAACACACGTACACACACACACACACACGTACACACACACACGTACACAAACACACACACGTACACGTACACACACACGTACACACACACAGGTACACACACACACACACGTACACACACACACGTACACGTACACACACACGTACACACACACACGTACACACACACACGTACACACACACACACGTACACGTACACACACACACACGTACACACACACACACACGTACACGTACACACACACACATGTACACACACACACATGTACACACACACACACGTACACACACACACATGTACACACACACACATGTACACACACACACGTACACACACTTGCGTGTGGCTGAGTGTGGTTGACTCTACTGTGACCCACAGGTTTCCCCGGAACTCCGGGCTTCAAGGGCGACGTGGGAACCCCAGGCACCTCTGGGCCAAGGGGTCCCCCCGTGAGTATGGGGCAGTGTTGAGTCTATGGGGCAGTGTTGAGTCTATGGGCAGTGTTGAGTCTATGGTGCAGTGTTGAGTCTATGGGTGGCAGTGTTGAGTCTATGGTGCAGTGTTGAGTCTATGGGTGGCAGTGTTGAGTCTATGGTGCAGTGTTGAGTCTATGGGTGGCAGTGTTGAGTCTATGGTGCAGTGTTGAGTCTATAGTGCAGTGTTGAGTCTATGGGGCAGTGTTGAGTCTATGGTGCAGTGGTGAGTCTATGGTGCCGTGTTGAGTCTATGGGTGGCAGTGTTGAGGCTACGGTGCAGTGTTGAGTCTATGGTGCAGTGGTGAGTCTATGGTGCAGTGTTGAGTCTATGGGGCAGTGTTGAGTCGATGGTGCAGTGGTGAGTCTGTGGGGCAGTGTTGAGTCTATGGGCAGTGTTGAGTCTATGGGCAGTGTTGAGTCTATGGTACAGTGCTGAGTCTATGGTGCAGTGTTGAGTCTATGGTGCAGTGCTGAGTCTATGGTGCGGTGTTGAGTCTATGGTGCAGTGTTGAGTCTATGGTGCAGTGGTGAGTCTATGGTGCAGTGTTGAATCTATGGTGCAGTTTCGAGTCCATGGTGCAGTGTTGAGTCTATGGGCAGTGTTGAGTCTATGGGTAGTGTTGAGTCTATGGTGCAGTGTTGAGTCTATGGTGCAGTGTTGAGTCTATGGGCAGTATTGAGTCTATGGGCAGTGTTGAGTCTATGGTGCAGTGTTGAGTCTATGGTGCAGTGTTGTGTCTACAGTGCAGTGTTGAGTCTATGGTGCAGTGGTAAGTCTATGGGCAGTGTTGAGTCTATGGGCAGTGTTGAGTCTATGGGCAGTGTTGAGTCTATGGTGCAGTGGTGAGTTTATGGTGCAGTGTTGAGTCTATGGTGCAGTGTTGAGTCTACGGTGCAGTGGTGAGTCTGTGGGGCAGTGCTGAGTCTATGGTGCAGTGTTGAGTCTATGGTGCAGTGATGAGTCTACGGTGCAGTGTTGAGTCTATGGGGCAGTGTTGAGTCTATGGTGCAGTGGTGAGTCTATGGTGCGGTGTTGAGTCTATGGTGCAGTGCTGAGTCTATGGTGCGGTGTTGAGTCTATGGTGCAGTGTTGAGTCAATGGTGCAGTGTTGAGTCTATGGTGCAGTGGTGAGTCTACGGTGCAGTGTTGAGTCTACGGGGCAGTGTTGAGTCTATGGTGCAGGGGTGAGTCTATGGTGCAGTGTTGAGTCTATGGTGCAGTGTTGAGTCTATGGTGCAGTGCTGAGTCTATGGTGCAGTGTTGATTCTATGGTGCAGTGTTGAGTCTATGGTGCAGTGCTGAGTCTATGGTGCAGTGTTGAGTCTATGGTACAGTGCTGAGTCTATGGTGCAGTGTTGAGTCTATGGGTGGCAGTGTTGAGTCTATGGTGCAGTGTTGAGTCTATGGTGCAGTGTTGAGTCTATGGTGCGGTGTCTTGTCTATGGTGCAGTGTTGAGTCTCTGGTGCAGTGTTGAGTCTATGGTGCAGTGTTGAGTCTATGGTACAGTGTTGAGTCTATGGTGCAGTGGTGAGTCTATGGTGCAATGTTGAATCTATGGTGCAGTTTCGAGTCCATGGTGCAGTGTTGAGTCTATGGGCAGTGTTGAGTCTATGGGTAGTGTTGAGTCTATGGTGCAGTGTTGAGTCTATGGTGCAGTGTTGAGTCTATGGGCAGTATTGAGTCTATGGGCAGTGTTGAGTCTATGGTGCAGTGTTGTGTCTACAGTGCAGTGTTGAGTCTGTGGTGCAGTGTTGAGTCTATGGTGCAGTGTTGAGTCTATGGTGCAGTGTTGAGTCTATGGTGCAGTGTTGAGTCTATGGTGCAGTGTTGAGTCTATGGTGCAGTGGTGAATCTATGGTGCAGTGTTAAGTCTATGGTGCCGTGTTGAGTCTATGGGAGGCAGTGTTGAGTCTACGGGGCAGTGTTGAGTCTATCTTGCAGTGTTGAGTCTATGGTGCAGTGTCTAGTCTATTGTGCAGTGTTGAGTCTATTGAGCAGTGTTGAGTCTATGGTGCAGTGTTGAGTCTATGGTGCAGTGTTGAGTCTATGGTGCAGTGTTGAGTCTATGGTGCAGTGTTCAGTCTATGGTGCAGTGTTGAGTCTATGGTGCAGTGTTGAGTCTATGGGCAGTGTTGAGTCTATGGTGCAGTGTTGAGTCTCTGGTGCAGTGTTGAGTCTATGGTGCGGTGTTGAGTCTATGGTGCAGGGTTGAGTCTATGGTGCAGTGTTGAGTCTATGGGCAGTGTTGAGTCTATGGTGCAGTGTTGAGTCTATGGTGCAGTGTTGAGTATATGGGCAGTGTTGAGTCTATGGTGCAGTGTTGAGTCTCTGGTGCAGTGTTGAGTCTATGGTGCGGTTTGAGTCTATGGTGCAGGGTTGAGTCTATGTTGCAGTGTTGAGTCTATGGGCAGTGTTGAGTCTATGGTGCAGTGTTGAGTCTATGGTGCAGTGTTGAGTCTATGGTGCGGTGTTGAGTCTATGGTGCAGTGTTTAGTCCATGGTGACTATTGTGCTAATGTGTTAATGTGTCGACGATGTGAATTGTGGCTGTTGTTGTAATTGTTGTGGTTTATGCTGTTGTCGTTGATGGTCGCTGTGACTTAATTGCCCCGGTCTTTCAGGGTATCCCCGGCCCCGTGGGGCGTCTGGGTGCCCCGGGGCTCAAAGGGGACCCAGGATCTGCGTTCCCCGTGCCGGGTACCAAGGGCGACGAAGGGGACCCTGGGAGGCCGGGGATCGACGGACGGCCCGGGAACCCCGGGAGGCCTGGGGTGGATGGGTCCCCCGGGTTCCCGGGGTCTAAAGGGGACCCTGTGAGTGACGACACACATACACGAGGGATACCCCCTAAACTTCAGTGAATACGGTAATACCTGTAGCACGTGTGGGTCTTATACCACAGTGAATACGGTAATACCAGTACCACGTGTGAGTCTTATACCACAGTGAATACGGTGATACTAGCACCACGTGTGGGTCTTATACCCCAGTGAATACGGTGATACTAGTACCACGTGTGGGTCTTATACCACAGTGAATACGGTAATACTAGTACCACGTGTGGGTCTTGTACCAAAGTGAATACGGTAATACTATTACCACGTGGGGGTCTTATACCCCAGTGAATACGGTAATACCTGTACCACGTGTGGGTCTTATACCCCAGTGAATACGGTGATACTAGTACCAGGTGTGGGTCTTATACCCCAGTGAATACGGTAATACCTGTACCACGTGTGGGTCTTATACCCCAGTGAATACGGTGATACTAGTACCACGTGTGGGTCTTATACCACAGTGAATACGGTAATACTAGTACCACGTGTGGGTGTTATACCACAGTGAATACGGTAATACTAGTACCACGTGTTGGTCTTATACCCCAGTGAATACGGTAATACTAGTACCACGTGTGGGTCTTATACCACAGTGAATACGGTAATACTAGTACCACGTGTGGGTCTTATACCACAGTGAATACGGTAATACTAGTACCACCAATGGGTCTTTTACCCCAGTGAATACGGTAATACTAGTACCACGTGTAAGTCTTATACCCCAGTGAATACGGTAATACTAGTACCAGGTGTGGTTGTTATACCCCAGTGAATACGGTAATACTAGTACCACGTGTGGGTCTTATACCCCAGTGAATACGGTGATACTAGTACCACGTGTGGGTCTTATACCACAGTGAATGCGGTAATACTAGTACCACCAATGGGTCTTTTACCCCAGTGAATACGGTAATACTAGTACCACGTGTAAGTCTTATACCCCAGTGAATACGGTAATACTAGTACCAGGTGTGGTTGTTATACCCCAGTGAATACGGTAATACTAGTACCACGTGTGGGTCTTATACCCCAGTGAATACGGTGATACTAGTACCACGTGTGGGTCTTATACCACAGTGAATGCGGTAATACTAGTACCACGTGTGGGACTTATACCACAGTGAATACGGTAATACTAGTACCATGTGTGGGTCTTATACCACAGTGAATACGGTAATACTAGTACCACGTGTGGGTCTTATACCACAGTGAATACGGTAATACTAGTACCAGGTGTGGGTCTTATACCACAGTGAATACGGTAATACCAGTACCACGTGTAGGTCTTATACCCCAGTGAATACGGTAATACTAGCACCACGTGTGGATGTTATACCACAGTGAATACGGTAATACTAGTACCACGTGTGGGTCTTATACCACAGTGAATACGGTAATACTAGCACCACGTGTGGGTCTCATACCACAGTGAATACGGTGATACTAGCACCACGTGGGGGTCTTATACCCCAGTGAATACGGTAATACTAGCACCACGTGTGAGTCTTACACCACAGTGAATACGGTAATACTAGCACCACGTGTGGGTCTTACACCACAGTGAATACGGTAATACTAGTACCACGTGTGGGTCTTATACGACAGTGAATACGGTGATGCTAGTACCACGTGTGAGTCTTATACCACAGTGAATACGGTAATACCAGTACCACGTGTGAGTCTTACACAACAGTGAATACGGTGATACTAGCACCACGTGTGGGTCTTATACCACAGTGAATACGGTAATACTAGCACCACGTGTGAGTCTTATACCACAGTGAATACGGTAATACTAGCACCACGTGTGAGTCTTATACCCCAGTGAATACGGTAATACTAGTACCACGTGTGGGTCTTACACCACAGTGAATACGGTAATACTAGCACCACGTGTGAGTCTTACACCACAGTGAATACGGTAATACTAGCACCACGTGTGGGTCTTATACCACAGTAAATACGGTAATACTAGTACCACGTGTGGGTCTTATTCCCCAGTGAATACGGTAATACTAGTACCACGTGTTGGTCTTATACCACAGTAAATACGGTAATACCAGTACCACGTGTGGTTGTAATGGATTTTGTGTCTACCCCGCCCCCTCCCCCCCGAAGGCCCCGTTTGGACTGAAAGGGGAGCAGGGTCCACCGGGCCCCCCGGGATTTTCGTCATCGCCGGGGCTACAGGGCCCCCCGGGACCCCCAGGGATAGGGTTCCCTGGCCCCCCCGGCATGAAGGGGCCGCAGGGGGTCCCGGGCCGGCCGGGTGCCCCAGGGACTCCCGGTGAGATTTTTATTTGTTTAGTTTCAAAAATAAAAAATAAAAATAAATACAAAATCTTAACTTGAAGCTTTCGCGTACTTGCAGGAATCCACAGCGCTGGTGAAGTGATCTTCTTTGGTTCTTTCGGTAAAGTCACCACCACGTAGAATGTGACTAAAATAATAATACATTGATACAAATAACACGATAAAATTCTCACGACGTTTCGGCCACAACACAAGCGGCCTTCATCAGGTGAAGGGACGAGACTGTCTGGTAGGTCACTCCAGCGCTGTCCTCCAGACAGTCTCGTCCCTTCACCTGATGAAGGCCGCTTGTGTCGTGGCCGAAACGTCGTGAGAATTTCATCGCGTTACTTTATTTTATCAATTTATTATTTTCTTCTCATTCCACGTGGTGGTGACTTTACCGAAGGAACCAAAGAAGATGAATCCTTGCAGTCACGAAAGCTTTAAATCGAAATTTTTTTGGTGAAGTGATCACGTGGTGGGTAGACAAAGTAAAATACAACCCCCAAAATAAATAAATAATAAATTATAATTATTTTTTGTTTTATTAAATTGTAATGAAATGTTTTTTGGTCTACAAGCGACTGATTTACCTTCACCTATACATCTGTGAGAGGCGGGGGGGGGGAGGGGTGTGTGGAAACAACGAGCTTCATAGCTTTTCGGATTCTTCCTGCAGTATAAATACAATATCCTGATTGTGCTGCTTGTTCATAACAGCACTTGCCCCAACAACTTGTTAGAGGCTACACGGGGGACCTTTGTCTATGGAGCACTTGCCCCAACAACTTGTAATAGGCTACACGGGGGACCTTTGTCTATGGAGCACTTGCCCCAACAACTTGTTAGAGGCTACACGGGGGACCTTTGTCTATGGAGCACTTGTCCCCATACACACAGCCTATCAGAGGCTACACGGGGGACCTTTGCCTTTGCAGCACTTGCCTCAACAGCCTGCCAGAGGCTACACGGGGGACTTTTGTCTTTGCAGCACTTGCCCCCATACACACAGCCTGTCAGAGGCTACACGGGGGACCTTTGTCTATGGAGCACTTGCCCCAACAGCCTGCCAGAGGCTACCCGGGGGACCTTTGTCTTTGCAGCACTTGCCCCAACAGCCTGCCAGAGGCTACACGGGGGACCTTTGCCTTTGCAGCACTTGCCCCAACAGCCTGCCAGAGGCTACCCGGGTGACCTTTGTCTATGGAGCACTTGCCCCAACAGCCTGCCAGAGGCTACACGGGGGACCTTTGTCTTTGTAGCACTTGCCCCCATACACACAGCCTGTCAGAGGCTACACGGGGGACCTTTGTCTATGGAGCACTTGCCCCAACAGCCTGCCAGAGGCTACACGGGGGACCTTTGTCTATGGTGCACTTGTCCCCATACACACAGCCTGTCAGAGGCTACACGGGGGACCTTTGCCTTTGCAGCACTTGCCTCAACAGCCTGCCAGAGGCTACACGGGAGACCTTTGTCTATGGAACACTTGCCCCAACAGCCTGCCAGAGGCTACCCGGGTGACCTTTGTCTATGGAGCACTTGCCCCAACAGCCTGCCAGAGGCTACCCGGGTGACCTTTGTCTATGGAGCACTTGCCCCAACAGCCTGCCAGAGGCTACCCGGGTGACCTTTGTCTATGGAGCACTTGCCCCAACAGCCTGTCCGAGGCTACACGGGGGACCTTTGCCTTTGCAGCACTTGCCCCAACAGCCTGTCCGAGGCTACACGGGTGACCTTTGTCTTTGCAGCACTTGCCCCAACAGCCTGCCAGAGGCTACCCGGGTGACCTTTGCCTTTGTGACTTGACCTCTGCCCCCCCCCCCCCACGTGACGCTCCGCGTTAGGCGAGAAGGGAGACCCCGGCTTAACCAAGACTGAGCCTGGGCCCTCAGGGCCTGCAGGACCCCCTGGGGGACAAGGACCCCCGGGGTTCCCAGGTAAGACCCCCACCCTCCCACCCCCACAGTCCCCCCTTCCCTCTCCAAGGGGGCCCTCCTCACTACCCCATCTCAAGTGTCCAAGGGGACCCCCCCCCTCCTCCCCCAACTCCCCCCCCCCCCTCTCATCCCTGTCACCTGACGTTGTTGACGTTGTTGTTGTTGTTGACACATTCTCTGCCCCTCTCCGCACTCAGGGACCCCGGGATTCGAAGGGAGTCCAGGGACCCCGGGGCAGCCGGGGCCCAAAGGGGATCAGGGACTCCCTGGCAGGGGGGTCCCTGGAGGACCTGGACCCAAAGGTGAGACAGATCGTCCATACCTTACGTACGGACACCTGTGTGTGTGTGTGTGTCTCTCTCTCTCTGTCCATCTGTCCATCCCTCCAAATGTGTGTTCATCTGTCTGTCTGTCCATCTGTCCATCTGTCTGTCTGTCCATCTCTCTGTCTGTCTGTCCATCCCTCCATCTGTCTGTCCATCTCTCTGTCTGTCTGTCCATCCCTCCATCTGTCTGTCCATCTGTCTGTCTGTCCATCTGTCTGTCTGTCTGTCCATCCTTCCATCTGTCTGTCCATCTCTCTGTCCATCTGTCTGTCCGTCTGTCTGACCGTCTGTCCATCCCTCCATCTGTCTGTCCATCTGTCCATCTCTCTGTCCATCTGTCTGTCCATCTGTCTGTCCGTCTGTCCGTCCATCCCTCCATCTGTTTGTCCATCTGTCCATCTCTCTGTCCATCCAAGCATCTGTGTGTCCATCTCTCAATCTCTCCGTCTGTCTGTCCATCCCTCCATCTGTCTGGCCGTCTGTCTGTCTGTCTGTCCATCCCTTCATCTGTGTGTCCAACTGTTCATCTGTCTGTCTGTCTGTCCGTCCCTCCATCTGTGTGTCCATCTGTCCATCTGTCCGTCTGTCTGTCCATCCCTCCATCTGTGTGTCCATCTGTCCATATCTCCGTCTGTCCGTCTGTCTCTCCGTCCCTCCATCCGTGTGTCCATCTGTCTGTATGTCCATCTGTCCGTCTGTCTGTCGGTCCCTCCATCTGTGTGTCCACCTGTCTGTATGTCCATCTGTCCGTCTGTCAGACTGTCTGTCCATCCCTCCATCTGTGTGTCCATCTGTTCATCTGTCTACCTGTCTGTCCGTATGTCCGTCTGTCTGTCCATCCCTCCATCTGTCTGGCCGTCTGTCTGCCCGTCTGTCCATCCCTCCATCTGTGTGTCCAACTGTCCATCTGTCCGTCTGTCCATCCCTCCATCTGTGTGTCCATCTGTCCGTCTGTCCATCTCTCTGTCCGTCTGCCCGTCTGTCCGTCCCTCCATCTGTGTGTCCATCTGTCCGTCTGTCCGTCTGTCTGCCCGTCTGACCGTCCCTCTATCTGTGTGTCCATCTGTCTGTCTGTCTGTCTGCCCGTCTGTCCGTCCCTCCATCTGTGTGTCCATCTGTCCGTCTGTCCGTCTGTCTGCCCGTCTGTCCGTCGCTCCATCTGTGTGTCCATCTGTCCGTCTGTCCATCTCTCTGTCCGTCTGCCCGTCTGTCCGTCCCTCAATCTGTGTGTCCATCTGTCCATCTGTCCGTCTGTCCGTCCGTCTGTCCGTCCCTCCATCTGTGTGTCCATCTGTCTGTCTGTCTGCCCGTCTGTCCGTCCCTCCATCTGTGTGTCCATCTGTCCGTCTGTCCGTCCGTCTGGGTGGTGCTGGCCACCCACCCACCCACCTCGTGTCCCACCGTGCCGGTAGCCATCATAGGCGCTGCTGCTGCTGCCGCTCGCCACCACTGACAGCACTTGCCCCAGCGGCTTGTTGAGGCTACACGGGGGTGGATCTTTGTCTTTGTGTCTGTCGTGCGTGTGTCCGTGGCGTCTTCAGGCTTCTCGGGTACCCCGGGAACTCCCGGAAACCCCGGGGGGCCCGGCACGCCGGGACAGGGTGGCAATCCGGGCAGCCCCGGATTCCCCGGCATCAAGGTGAGGGAGAAGAAGCGCCAAAGCAGCAGGAGGCGCTGCTCCTGGGAATGTCGATTTCCATCTGTGCGGGTGTCTCTGCTGTGAGTTTGTGGGTGTCTCTGCTGTGAGTCTGTGGGTGTCTCTGTGTGAGTCTGTGGGGCTCTGTTGTGAGTCTGTGGGTGTCTCTGTGTGAGTCTGTGGGTCTCTGTGTGAGTCTGTGGGTGTCTCTGCTGTGAGTTTGTGGGTCTCTGTGTGAGTCTGTGGGTGTCTCTGTGTGAGTTTACGGGTCTCTATGTGAGTCTGTGTGTCTCTGTGTGAGTCTGTGGGTGACTCTATGTGAGTCTGTGGGTGTCTCTGTGTGAGTCTACGGGTGTCTGTGTGAGTCTGTGGGTGTCTCTGCTGTGAGTTTGTGGGTCTCTGTGTGAGTCTGTGGGTCTCTGTGTGAGTATGTGGGTGTCTCTGTGTGAGTCTACGGGTCTCTGTGTGAGTCTGTGGGTGTCTCTGCTGTGAGTTTGTGGGTCTCTGTGTGAGTCTGTGGGTCTCTGTGTGAGTATGTGGGTGTCTCTGTGTGAGTCTACGGGTCTCTGTGTGAGTCTGTGGGTCTCTCTGCTGTGAGTCTGTGGGTGTCTCTGCTGTGAGTTTGTGGGTCTCTGTGTGAGTCTGTGGGTGGCTCTGCTGTGAGTTTGTGGGTCTCTGTGTGAGTCTGTGGGTGTCTCTGTGTGAGTTTACGGGTCTCTGTGTGAGTCTGTGGGTCTCTGTGTGAGTCTGTGGGTCTCTGTGTGAGTCCGTGGGTCTCTGTGTGAGTCTGTGGGTCTCTGTGTGAGTCTGTGGGTCTCTGTGTGAGTCTGTGGGTGTCTCTGTGTGAGTCTACGGGTCTCTGTGTGAGTCTGTGGGTGTCTCTGTGTGAGTCTGTGGGTGTCTCTGTGTGAGTCTGTGGGTGTCTCTGCTGTGAGTCTGTGGGTGTCTCTGTGTGAGTCTGTGGGTGTCTCTGCTGTGAGTTTGTGGGTCTCTGTGTGAGTCTGTGGGTGTCTCTGCTGTGAGTTTGTGGGTCTATCTGCTGTGAGTCTGTGGGTGTCTCTGCTGTGAGTTTGTGGGTCTCTCTGCTGTGAGTCTGTGGGTGTCTCTGCTGTAAGTCTACGGGTCTCTGTGTGAGTCTGTGGGTGTCTCTGCTGTGAGTCTACGGGTCTCTGTGTGAGTCTGTGGGTGTCTCTGTGTAGGCCTATGGGTCTCTGTGAGTCTGTGGGTCTTTGTGTGAGTCTATGGGTCTTTGTGTGAGTGTGGGTGTCTCTGTGTAAGTCTGTGGGTCTCTGTGTGAGTCTGTGGGTCTCTGTGTGAGTATGTGGGTGTCTCTGTGTGAGTCTACTGGTCTCTGTGTGAGTCTGTGGGTGTCTCTGCTGTGAGTTTGTGGGTCTCTGTGTGAGTCTGTGGGTGTCTCTGTGTGAGTCTACGGGTCTCTGTGTGAGTCTGTGGGTGTCTCTGTGTGAGTATACGGGTCTCTGTGTGAGTCTGTGGGTGTCTCTGTGTGAGTCTACGGGTCTCTGTGTGAGTCTGTGGGTCTCTCTGTGAGTCTGTGGGTGTCTCTGTGTGAGTCTACGGGCCTCTGTGAGAGTCTATGGGTCTATGTGTGAGTCTATGGGTCTCTATGTGAGTCTGTGGGTCTCTATGTGAGTCTGTGGGTGTCTCTGCTGTGAGTTTGTGGGTCTCTCTGTGAGTCTGTGGGTGTCTCTGCTGTGAGTTTGTGGGTCTCTCTGTGAGTCTGTGGGTGTCTCTGCTGTGAGTTTGTGGGTCTCTGTGTGAGTCTGTGGGTGTCTCTGTGTGAGTCTACAGGTCTCTGTGTAAGTCTATGGGTCTCTGTGAGTCTGTGGGTCTTTGTGTGAGTCTATGAGTCTCTGTGTGAGTCTATGGGTCTTTGTGTGAGTGTGGGTGTCTCTGTGTAAGTCTGTGGGTCTCTGTGTGAGTCTGTGGGTCTCTGTGTAAGTCTGTGGGTCTCTGTGTGAGTATGTGGGTGTCTCTGTGTGAGTCTACGGGTCTCTGTGTGAGTCTGTGGGTCTCTGCTGTGAGTTTGTGGGTCTCTGTGTGAGTCTGTGGGTGTCTCTGTGTGAGTCTACGGGTCTCTGTGTGAGTCTGTGGGTGTCTCTGTGTGAGTCTACGGGTCTCTGTGTGAGTCTGTGGGTGTCTCTGCTGTGAGTCTACGGGTCTCTGTGTGAGTCTGTGGGTGTCTCTGTGTAGGCCTATGGGTCTCTGTGAGTCTGTGGGTCTTTGTGTGAGTCTATGGGTCTTTGTGTGAGTTTGGGTGTCTCTGTGTAAGTCTGTGGGTCTCTGTGTGAGTCTGTGGGTCTCTGTGTGAGTATGTGGGTGTCTCTGTGTGAGTCTACTGGTCTCTGTGTGAGTCTGTGGGTGTCTCTGCTGTGAGTTTGTGGGTCTCTGTGTGAGTCTGTGGGTGTCTCTGTGTGAGTCTACGGGTCTCTGTGTGAGTCTGTGGGTGTCTCTGTGTGAGTCTACGGGTCTCTGTGTGAGTCTGTGGGTGTCTCTGTGTGAGTCTACGGGTCTCTGTGTGAGTCTGTGGGTCTCTCTGTGAGTCTGTGGGTGTCTCTGTGTGAGTCTACGGGCCTCTGTGAGAGTCTATGGGTCTATGTGTGAGTCTATGGGTCTCTATGTGAGTCTGTGGGTCTCTATGTGAGTCTGTGGGTGTCTCTGCTGTGAGTTTGTGGGTCTCTCTGTGAGTCTGTGGGTGTCTCTGCTGTGAGTTTGTGGGTCTCTCTGTGAGTCTGTGGGTGTCTCTGCTGTGAGTTTGTGGGTCTCTGTGTGAGTCTGTGGGTGTCTCTGTGTGAATCTACAGGTCTCTGTGTAAGTCTATGGGTCTCTGTGAGTCTGTGGGTCTTTGTGTGAGTCTATGAGTCTCTGTGTGAGTCTATGGGTCTTTGTGTGAGTGTGGGTGTCTCTGTGTAAGTCTGTGGGTCTCTGTGTGAGTCTGTGGGTCTCTGTGTAAGTCTGTGGGTCTCTGTGTGAGTATGTGGGTGTCTCTGTGTGAGTCTACGGGTCTCTGTGTGAGTCTGTGGGTCTCTGCTGTGAGTTTGTGGGTCTCTGTGTGAGTCTGTGGGTGTCTCTGTGTGAGTCTACGGGTCTCTGTGTGAGTCTGTGGGTGTCTCTGTGTGAGTATACGGGTCTCTGTGTGAGTCTGTGGGTGTCTCTGCTGTGAGTTTGTGGGTGTCTCTGTGTGAGTCTGTGGGTGTCTCTGTGTGAGTCTGTGGGTCTTTGTGTGAGTCTGTGGGTGTCTCTATGTGAGTCTGTGGGTATCTGTGTGAGTCTGTGGGTGTCTCTGCTGTGGATTTGTGGGTCTCTCTGTGAGTCTGTGGGTGTCTCTGTGAGTCTATGGGTCTTTGTGTGAGTCTATGGGTCTCTGTGTGAGTCTGTGGGTCTCTCTGGGAGTGTATGGGTCTCTCTGTGAGTCTATGGGTCTCTGTGTGAGTCTATGGGTCTCTGTGTGAGTCTATGTGTCTCTGTGTGAGTCTATGGGTCTCTCTGTGAGTCTATGGGTCTCTGTGTGAGTCTATGGGTCTCTCTGTGAGTCTATGTGTCTCTGTGTGAGTCTATGGGTCTCTGTGTGAGTCTATGGGTCTCTGTATGAGTCTATGTGTCTCTGTGTGAGTCTATGTGTCTCTGTGTGAGTCTATGGGTCTCTGTGTGAGTCTATGGGTCTCTGTGTGAGTCTATGGGTCTCTGTGTGAGTCTATGGGTCTCTGTGTGAGTCTATGTGTCTCTGTGTGAGTCTATGTACGTGTGTGTATGTTGAACTTCTTTCGCACCGTACGTAGCCGACCGTGGCCAATCAGAGGCGCGGCGGGCCTGTGCCAGGCTAGGTGCACTTTGAGACCATCACGTGAGGCCAGTGGTAGTGTAGAGGTGGTCGTGGTTTGGGGAGTCACCGCTCACGGCAAACACCGGTGACGATTATCTGAACCCGGTCCTGGTCCTCGCCTAGGTCGACTCGGCCACAAATGAGTTGCCTGGTGTAGCTGTGTGCAGTATAAACATCGCACCCCTTGGGGAGACAAAGGCGGCCGGGCGTGGTGCTGGTAGCCACCCACCCCCTCGTGTGCCACAGTGCCGGTAGCCTTCATAGGTGCTGCTACTCGCTACTAACAGCACTTGCCCCTACAGTCTGTAGAGGCTACACGGGGGATCTTTGTCTGTGTCTACCTTCATAGGTGCTGCTACTCGCTACTAACAGCACTTGCCCCAGCAGTCTGTAGAGGCTACACGGGGGGTCTTTGTCTGTGTCTACCTTCATAGGTGCTGCTGCTACTCACTACTAACAGCACTTGCCCCTACAGTCTGTAGAGACTACACGGGGGATCTTTGTCTGTGTCTACCTTCATAGCTGCTGCTGCTACTCGCTACTAACAGCACTTGCCCCAGCATTCTGTAGAGGCTACACGGGGGACCTTTGTCTGTGTCTACCTTCATAGGTGCTGCTGCTACTCGCTACTAACAGCACTTGCCCCAGCAGTATGTAGAGGCTACACGGGGGATCTTTGTCTGTGTCTACCTTCATAGGTGCTGTTACTCGCTACTAACAGCACTTGCCCCAGCAGTCTGTAGAGGCTACACGGGGGACCTTTGTCTGTGTCTACCTTCATAGGTGCTGCTGCTACTCGCTACTAACAGCACTTGCCCCAGCAGTATGTAGAGGCTACACGGGGGATCTTTGTCTGTGTCTACCTTCATAGGTAGTTGCTGCTACTCGCTACTAACAGCACTTGCCCCTACAGTCTGTAGAGGCTACACGGGGGATCTTTGTCTGTGTCTACCTTCATAGGTGCTGCTACTCGCTACTAACAGCACTTGCCCCAGCAGTCTGTAGAGGCTACACGGGGGATCTTTGTCTGTGTCTACCTTCATAGCTGCTGCTACTCGCTACTAACAGCACTTGCCCCAGCAGTCTGTAGAGGCTACACGGGGGATTTTTGTCTGTGTCTACCTTCACAGGTGCTGCTGCTACTCGCTACTAACAGCACTTGCCCCTACAGCCTGTTGAGGCTACACGGGGGACCTTTGTCTGTGTCTACCTTCATAGCTGCTGCTACTCGCTACTAACAGCACTTGCCCCAGCAGTCTGTAGAGGCTACACGGGGGACCTTTGTCTGTGTCTACCTTCATAGCTGCTGCTGCTACTAACAGCACTTGCCCCAGCAGTCTGTTGAGGCTACACGGGGGACCTTTGTCTGTGTCTACCTTCATAGCTGCTGCTACTCGCTACTAACAGCACTTGCCCCTACACTCTGTAGAGGCTACACGGGGGACCTTTGCCCGTGTCTACCTTCATAGGTGCTGCTACTCGCTACTAACAGCACTTGCCCCAGCAGTATGTAGAGGCTACACGGGGGATCTTTGTCTGTGTCTACCTTCATAGGTGCTGCTACTCGTTACTAACATCACTTGCCCCTACAGTCTGTAGAGGCTACACGGGGGATCTTTGTCTGTGTGTGTGACAACAGGGAGACCCCGGCTTTGGCACCCCGGGACCATCGGGAACCCCAGGGCCCCGTGGGGTCCCCGGGCCCCCGGGCCTGAAGGGGGACCCCGGGCTACCGGGACAGGGGGCCCAACCCGGGCGACCCGGGGCGGATGGAACGCCGGGGCCCAAGGGTTCGTTCACCGCTCTGTAGACTTGGAATCCGAAGAGCTATGAAGCTCTTTGCGTGTACAGATGGTCTGGGAGGGTCACAGAGACGCATATAGAAACATAGAGACCCACAGACACCTACAGAGACCCATAGAGACCCATACTCATAGAGACCCCAACTCACAGAGACCCATACTCATAGAGACCCATACGCTTAGAGACCCATAGTGACCCATACTCATAGAGACCCAAACTCATAGAGACCCATAGAGATCCATACCCATAGAGACCCATAGAGACCCATACTCACAGAGACCCATAGAGACCCAAACTCATAGAGACCCAAACTCACAGAGACCCATACTCATAGAGACCCATACTCACAGAGACCCATAGAGACCCATACTCATAGAGACCCAAACTCACAGAGACCCAAACTCATAGAGACCCATACTCATAGAGACCCAAAGTCACAGAGACCCATACTCATAGAGACCCATACTCATAGAGACCCATACTCATAGAGACCCATACTCATAGAGACCCATACTCACAGAGACCCATACTCATAGACACCCACACTCATAGAGACCCATACTCACAGAGACCCATACTCACAGAAACCCACACTCATAGAGACCCATACTCACAGAGACCCTTACTCACAGAGACCCACACTCATAGACACCCACACTCATAGACACCCACACTCACAGAGACCCACACTCATAGAGGCCCATACTCATAGAGACCCATACTCATAGAGACCCATACTCACAGAGACCCATACTCATAGAGACCCATACTCACAGAGACCCATACTCATAGAGACCCATACTCATAGACACCCACACTCATAGAGACCCATACTCACAGAGACCCATACTCACAGAAACCCACACTCATAGAGACCCTTACTCACAGAGACCCACACTCATAGACACCCACACTCATAGACACCCACACTCACAGAGACCCACACTCATAGAGACCCATACTCATAGAGACCCAAACTCATAGAGACCCACACTCATAGACACCCATCCTCATAGAGACCCATACTCACAGAGATCCATACTCACAGGGACCCATCCTCATAGAGACCCACATTCATAGAGACCCATACTCACATAGACCCATACTCACAGAAACCCACACTCATAGAGACCCATACTCACAGAGACCCAAACTCATAGACACCCACACTCATAGACACCCACACTCACAGAGACCCATACTCACAGAGACCCACACTCACAGAGACCCAAACTCATAGACACCCAAACTCATAGACACCCACACTCACAGAGACCCACGCAGAACCAGAGAGACCCACAGAGACCCACGGACATAACGCTGCCTCTGGGTTCGACCAATCAGCATCGAGGACGACAGTGCCTAACAACATCGTTCAATCTCACGAGAGCCATGCTCGCTCGCATGTTTCATCACACACATGTTGTGTGTTTCATGCCCTGCACGCGTGTTCTCGTCTGCGTGTGTGTGTGGGGCCGCCCATAAATGACGTCACGCGATTTTTTGACGATTTTTGACCCCCCCCCCGCACCCCCTCCCCGTCAGACCCCCCCCCTCCTCCTCCTCAAATATGACGTCACAAAGCTCTGCCGCCACCCCCCAAATAAATAAATAAATATCGCATGCTTCTAATTATATTCTTGGTTCTTTCGGTAAAGTCACCACCACGTTGGAAGGGAAACAATAAAATAATGAAAATATTAAACTAATAAAATTATTATTCTTGCTTCTTTCGGTAAAGTCCACCACCACGTCAGAAGGGAAACAATAAAATAATAAAAATATTAAACTAATAAAATTATTATTATTGGTTCTTTCGGTAAAGTCACCACCACGTTGGAAGGGAAACAATAAAATAATGAAAATATTAAACTAATAAAATTATTATTTTTGGTTCTTTCGGTAAAGTCCACCACCACGTTAGAAGGGAAACAATAAAATAATAAAAATATAAAACAATAAAATTATTATTCTTGGTTCTTTCTGTAAAGTCACCACCACGTTGGAAGGGAAACAATAAAATAATGAAAATATTAAACTAATAAAATTATTATTCTTGGTTCTTTCGGTAAAGTCCACCACCACGTTAGAAGGGAAACAATAAAATAATAAAAATATAAAACAATACAATTATTATTCTTGGTTCTTTCGGTAAAGTCACCACCACGTTAGAAGGGAAACAATAAAATAATAAAAATATAAAACTAATAAAGTTATTATTCTTGGTTCTTTCGGTAAAGTCGCCACCACGTTAGAAGGGAAACAATAAAATAATAAAAATATAAAAACAATAAAATTATTATTCTTGGTTCTTTCGGTAAAGTCACCACCACGTTAGAAGGGAAACAATAAAATAATGTAAGTATAAAACAATAAAATTATTATTCTTGGTTCTTTCGGTAAAGTCACCACCACGTTAGAAGGGAAACAATAAAATAATAAAAATATAAAACAATAAAATTATTATTCTTGGTTCTTTCGGTAAAGTCACCACCACGTTAGAAGGAAAACAATAAAATAATACAAATATAAAACTAATAAAATTATTATTCTTGGTTCTTTCGGTAAAGTCACCACCACGTTAGAAGGGAAACAATAAAATTATAAAACAGTAAAATTATTATTCTTGGTTCTTTCGGTAAAGTCACCACCACGTAGAAGGGAAACAATAAAATAATAAAAATATAAAACAAAACTATTATTCTTGGTTCTTTCGGTAAAGTCACCACCACGTTAGAAGGGAAACAATAAAATAATTAAAATATAAAACAGTAAAATTATTATTCTTGGTTCTTTCGGTAAAGTCACCACCACGTTAGAAGGGAAACAATAAAATAATAAAAATATAAAACAATAAAATTATTATTCTTGGTTCTTTCTGTAAAGTCACCACCACGTTAGAAGGGAAACAATAAAATAATAAAAATATAAAACAATAAAATTATTATTCTTGGTTCTTTCGGTAAAGTCCACCACCACGTTAGAAGGGAAACAATAAAATAATAAAAATATAAAACAATAACATTATTATTCTTGGTTCTTTCGGTAAAGTCACCACCACGTTAGAAGGGAAACAATAAAATAATAAAAATATAAAACAATAAAATTATTATTCTTGGTTCTTTCGGTAAAGTCACCACCACGTTAGAAGGGAAACAATAAAATAAAAAGAATATAAAACAGTAAAATTATTATTCTTGGTTCTTTCGGTAAAGTCACCACCACGTTAGAAGGGAAACAATAAAATAATAAAAATATAAAACTAATAAAATTATTATTCTTGGTTCTTTCGGTAAAGTCACCACCACGTTAGAAGGGAAACAATAAAATAATAAAAATGTAAAACAATAAAATTGTTATTCTTGGTTCTTTCGGTAAAGTCACCACCACGTTAGAAGGGAAACAATAAAATAATAAAAATATAAAACAGTAAAATTCTCACGACGTTTCGACTGCAACACAAGCAGCAATCATCATCAGGTGTGAAAACCACAGCAAGAACAATTTTAAGCATGTTTTAAGCTTTAAATCAAAATGCTTCAAATCGCTTTAAGCTATTGTCATTGTAGTTGCGTGTTTAATGTGGCTCTGCACTCCTATGATGTTGTAGGAGAAAACATTTATTAAAATATTTTTAATGTAAAGCTTTCGTGACTGCAGTGATTCACATTCTTGGTTCTTTCGGTAAAGTCGCCACCACGTAGAAGGGAAACAATAAAAAAATAAAAAAATAAAATTTCTAACGTGGTGGTGACTTTACCGAAAAAACCAAGAATAATAATATTGTTTTATATCTTTATTATTGTATTGTTTCCCTTCTACGTGGTGACTTTACCGAAAGAACCGAGAATATGTATATATATAAAAACAAGTCTATTTAATTAAGTAGAACGTGTTTGCCTGTATTTATTTATCGATCAAGTTGCGAATTTTTACGTGACGTCACATTTCTCAAACCCCTCCCCCCCCTTGTCACACATCGTCACCCCCCGCCCCCCGCTAGGTGTGTGACGTCATTTATGGATGGCACGTGTGTCAGTGTGTGTGTCTGTGTGTGTCTGTGTGTGTGTGTCTGTGTGTGTGTCTATTTGCGGGGAGCGGTGGTGCAGCAGTTAGCGCTACGTTGCGCTGTGAACCTGGCGACCCCTGTGTTGCGTGTGTGTGTGCGTGTGTGCGTGTATGTGTGTGTGCGTGCCAGTGGTAGTGTAGCGGTTAGCGCTACGCTGCGCTATGAACCTGGCGACCCAGCTTCGATTCCCGCTCACGGCCAACACCAGTGACGATTATCTGAACCGGTCCCGGGCCTCCCCTAGGTCGACTCAGCCTCAAATGAGTACCTGGTGCGGTGTGTAAACATTGCCACTAGGGAGACAAAGGCGGTCGGGCGTGGTGCTGGCCACCCACCCCCTCGTCTACCGTTCCGGCCTTCATAGGTGCTCGCTAACAGCACTTGCCCCTACAGTCTGTTAAGGCTATACGGGGGATCTTTGTCTCTGTCTTTTGTGTCTATTTGCGGGGAGCGGTGGTGCAGCAGTTAGCGCTACGTTGCGCTGTGAACCTGGCGACCCCTGTGGTGCGTGTGTGTGTGCGTGTGTGCTCCACAGGCGATGCAGGGTTCCAGGGGAGGCCCGGTCAACCGGGGTCACCTGGTACCCCTGGCAGGGGCTCTCCTGGAGCAACGGGGACCCCAGGACCATCGGGTCCACCCGGGACCCCAGGTGAGTGCCCACACACAGAGACCCACAGACTACTCACACATAGAGACCCATAGACTACTCACACAGAGACACATAGACTCATACATAGAGACCCATAGACTCACACACAGAGACCCACAGACTACTCACACATAGAGACCCATAGACTACTCACACAGAGACACATAGACTCATACATAGAGACCCATAGACTCACACACAGAGACCCACAGACTACTCACACATAGAGACCCATAGACTACTCACACAGAGACACATAGACTCATCACACAGAGACCCATAGACTCACACATAGAGACCCATAGACTCACACATAGAGACCCATAGACTCATCACACAGAGACCCATAGACTCACCACACAGAGACCCATAGACTCACCACACAGAGACCCATAGACTCACACATAGAGACCCATAGACTCACACACACAGAGACCCATAGACTCACCACACAGAGACCCATAGACTCACACATAGAGACCCATAGACTCACCACACAGAGACCCATAGACTCACACATAGAGACCCATAGACTCACACATAGAGACCCATAGACTCATCACACAGAGACCCACAGACTACTCACACATAGAGACCCATAGACTACTCACACAGAGACACAGACTCATCACACAGAGACCCATAGACTCACACATAGAGACCCATAGACTCACACATAGAGACCCATAGACTCACTCACACAGAGACTCATAGACTACACACATAGAGACCCATAGACTCACACACACAGAGACCCATAGACTCACACATAGAGACCCATAGACTACTCACACAGAGACCCATAGACTCACACATAGAGACCCATAGACTCACACAGAGACCCATAGACTACTCACACAGAGACACATAGACTCACACACACAGAGACCCATAGACTCACACATAGAGACCCATAGACTCATCACACAGAGACCCATAGACTCACACACAGAGACCCACAGACTACTCACACATAGAGACCCATAGACTACTCACACAGAGACACATAGACTCATCACACAGAGACCCATAGACTCACACATAGAGACCCATAGACTCACACATAGAGACCCATAGACTCACACACAGAGACCCACAGACTACTCACACATAGAGACCCATAGACTCACACACAGAGACCCATAGACTCACTCACACAGAGACCCATAGACTCACTCACACAGAGACCCATAGACTCACACAGAGACCCATAGACTCACACACACATAGACCCATAGACTCACACATAGAGACCCATAGACTACTCACACAGAGACCCATAGACTGACACGTAGAGACCCATAGACTCACACAGAGACCCATAGACTCACACATAGAGACCCATAGACTCACACAGAGACCCATAGACTACTCACACAGAGACACATAGACTCACACACACAGAGACCCATAGACTCACACACACAGAGACCCATAGACTCACACAGACACCCACAGACTACTCACACATAGAGACCCATAGACTACTCACACAGAGACACAGACTCATCACACAGAGACCCATAGACTCACACATAGAGACCCATAGACTCACACACAGAGACCCATAGACTACTCACACATAGAGACCCATAGACTCACTCACACAGAGACCCATAGACTACACACATAGAGACCCATAGACTCACACACACATAGACCCATAGACTCACACATAGAGACCCATAGACTACTCACACAGAGACCCATAGACTGACACGTAGAGACCCATAGACTCACACAGAGACCCATAGACTCACACATAGAGACCCATAGACTCACACAGAGACCCATAGACTACTCACACAGAGACACATAGACTCACACACACAGAGACCCATAGACTCACACATAGAGACCCATAGACTACTCACACAGAGACCCATAGACTCACCACACAGAGGCCCATCGACTCACACAGAGAACCATAGACTACTCACACAGAGACCCATAGACTCACACAGAGAACCATAGACTACTCACACAGAGACCCATAGACTCACACATAGAGACCCATAGACTACTCACACGGAAACCCATAGACTCACACACAGAGACCCATAGACTCACACACAGAGACCCATAGACTACTCACACAGAGAGTCATAGACTCACACACACAAAGACCCATAGACTCACCACACAGAGACCCATAGACTCACACACACAAAGACCCATAGACTACTCACACAGAGACCCACACACTCACACGTAGAGACCCATAGACTACTCACACAGAGACCCATAGACTCACACACACAGAGACCCATAGACTACTCACACAGAGGCCCATAGACTCAAACACACAGAGACCCATAGACTCACACATAGAGACCCATAGACTACTCACACAGAGATACATAGACTCACACACACAGAGACCCATAGACTCACACATAGAGACCCATAGACTCACCACACAGAGACCCATAGACTCACACACAGAGACCCATAGACTCACACACAGAGAGACCCCATAGACTCACACATAGAGACCCATAGACTACTCACACAGAGACCCATAGACTACTCACACAGAGACCCATAGACTCACACACACAGAGACCCATAGACTCACCACACAGAGACCCATAGACTCACACACAGAGACACATAGACTCACACATAGAGACCCATAGACTACGCACACAGAGACCCATAGACTACTCACACAGAGACCCATAGACTCACACACAGAGACCCATAGACTCACACACAGAGACCCATAGACTCACACATAGAGACCCATAGACTACTCACACAGATACCCATGGACTACTCACACAGAGACCCATAGACTCACACACACAGAGACCCATAGACTCACACACAGAGACCCATAGACTACTCACACGGAGACCCATAGACTACTCACACGCAGACCCACAGACTCACACAGAGACCCATAGATTCACACAGAGGCCCATAGACTCACACACACACAGACCCATAGACTCACACATAGAGACCCATAGACTACTCACACGGAGACCCACAGACTCACACAGAGACCCATAGACTACTCACACAAAGACCCATAGACTCACACACACAGAGACCCATAGACTCACACACAGAGACCCATGGACTACTCACACGGAGACCCATAGACTCACACAGAGACCCATAGACTCACACATAGAGACCCATAGACTACTCACACGGAGACCCATAGACTACTCACACGGAGACCCACAGACTCACACGGAGACCCATAGACTTCTCACACAGAGACCCATAGACTCACACACACAGAGACCCATAGACTCACACAGAGACCCATAGACTCACACAGAGACCCATAGACTCACACACAGAGACCCATAGACTACTCACACAGAGACCCATAGACTCACACATAGAGACCCATCGACTCACACAGAGAACCATAGACTACTCACACAGAGACCCATAGACTACTCACACAGAGACCCATAGACTCACACACAGAGACCCATAGACTACTCACACAGAGACCCATAGACTACTCACATAGACACCCATAGACTCACACACACAGAGACCCATAGATTCACACACAGAGACCCATAGACTACTCACACAGAGACCCATAGACGACACACACAGAGACCAATAGACTACTCACACAGAGACCCATAGACTCACACACACAGAGACCCATAGACTCACCACACAGAGACCCATAGACTCACCACACAGAGACCCATAGACTCACACACACAGAGACCCATAGACTACTCACACAGAGACCCATAGACTACTCACACAGAGACCCATAGACTCCTCACACAGAGACCCATAGATTACTCACACAGAGACGCATAGGCTCACACAGACCCATAGACTACATACACAGAGACCCATAGAGTCGCATAGAGACCCATAGACTGACACAGAGACCCATAGACTCACACAGAGACCCATAGACTCATACAAAGACTCATATACTACTCACACAGAGACCCATAGACTCGCATAGAGACCCATAGACTCACACAGAGACCCATAGACTCACACAGAGACCCATATACTTAAACAGAGACCCACAGACTCGCACAGAGACCCATAGACTCACACAGAGACCCACAAACTCACACAGAGACCCACAGACTCACACAGAGACCTACAGACTCACACATAGACCCATAGACTAAGATAGAGACCCATAGACTCACACAGAGACCCACAGACTCACACAGAGACCCACAGACTCACACAGAGACCCATAGACTCACACAGAGACCCATAGACACTTGCACAGAGACCTGTGGACTCGCACAAAGACCCATAGACTCAAACAGACACCCGTAGACTCAATGTGAGACCCATCGACTCACACAGAGACCCACAGACTCACACAGAGACCCATAGACACTCGCACAGAGAGCCATCGACTCACACAGAGACCCATATACTCACATAGAGACCCATAGACTCACACAGAGACCCACAGACTCACACAGAGACTCATAGACTCACACAGAGACCCACAGACTCACACAGAAACCCATAGACTCACACAGAGACCCACAGACTCACACAGAGACCCATAGACTCACACAGAGACTCACAGACTCACACAGAGACCCATAGACACTCGCACAGAGAGCCATCGACTCACACAGAGACCCATATACTCACACAGAGACCCACAGACTCACAAAGAGACCCATAGACTCACACAGAGACCCATAGACTAAGATAGAGACCCATAGACTCACACAGAGACCCACAGACTCACACAGAGACCCACAGACTCACACAGAGACCCATAGACACTCGCACAGAGACCCATATACTCACACAGAGACCCACAGACTCACACAGAGACCCATAGACACTCGCACAGAGACCCATCGACTTGATCCACACGCTGGTTGAAGACCAATATGAGGCCGTCTCAAGCCCCCTTCCGCCTCTCTCTCTCTGCTGCCTAATTCTCAGTGTGCTTCTCCCCTCCGTGCTTTGGTTGCGCGCAACCTTGGTCGTGGATCCCTCTGCAACCGGTTGCGAGCAACCGGTTGCCGTTGGTCGCTCGCGTTAGAGCCCGATTCAACTCGGATGCCCGCCAATCGCTCGTGCACGCGTGTCCACGCCGATTGCTTGCAACTGATCACTCGCAACTGCCGGCAACCGATTGCCGGCAACCGATTGCTCGCAACCGACCGCTCGCAACCGACATGCCCGCCCCTTGGAGCAACCCCGCGCGTCTCTTTTCTTGACAGGTTTCCCGGGGGGCCCTGGCGCCAAGGGGGAGCGAGGCCCCCCAGGACTGGGGGGCCAGGGGTCCCCGGGGGACCGGGGAACGCCGGGACCCCCCGGGCCCCAGGGGCAGCCGGGTCAGCCGGGCAGCGGAGGGAGGTCGGGGCAGGATGGACAACCAGGGAGGCCCGGTGTGTGCACACACACACACACACGTACACACATGTACACACACACACACGTACACACACATGTACGCACACTTACACACACGCACGTACACACACACACACGTACACACACACACACGTACACACACACACACACGTACACACATGTACGCTGGTCCGTCACTATGTAGTCCAGCAGATGTTCTTGCTTGGACCCGGCATGCATCCATGATGTTGTGTGGATGCGCCGATGCCGGAACAGCGTGTTGGTAATTACAAGCCCATGGGCTGCACAAAAATCTAGCAGCCTCCTACCGTTGTTATTGAGCTGATCTGGCCCATGCCCTCCAATCACTCCAGACCAGGTGCCAGTATCATGACCAACTCGGGCATTGAAGTCACCCAACATGATGACTCTATCCCGAGGGGCCACTTTAGCCAGCACCTGTGACAGGAGGTCATAGAAGGCATCTGACTCATCGGCTTTGCCTGCATCCCTCCACGGATGTTCATCTTCGGTGGGGGCATAAGTAACCACGACCACCATTCCTCGCCTCCGGTTGATGGGAAGGCGAGCCCAAAGTAGCCTGGGGCTTACAGCTTCCCACACCTCACCGCCACGCTCCCACGCCCCCTTCATTCTTTTGTTCAAAAGAAGACCCACACCCTGTTGTTTGGCAGTCTGCTGCCCCGAGTAGAGGACTGTCCACCCCTCATGGTGGCAGGAGCCAGAGCCGGTCCACCGGACCTCCTGAATGCCGCATAGATCCAGGCGGTACCGGTCCAGCTCCCGACAGAGGAGTGGCAGCCTCTCCTCTGCAGTGAGCGTTCGAACATTCCACGTGGCCACCCGTAGTGGCTTTTCGTTGTTTCTGGAGTAGCCCCGAGGGTAGGTATTCAATCTCCTGGCTCCGCCAATTGGGGTTTGGCCAGGAGACGTCATAGACGCCTGGCCCCCCGGGGCCTCCGGCACAAGCTTAGTTGTTACATATTTCAGTTTAATTCGTGGTTTCGTGGTAATTAATTGAAGGTGGAGGGGTTACCAGCCCCTCGCACCCGTCCAGAGCCCCCGTTTAGCCCCTGTGGTGGACACATATGCCATGAGGGGAGGAGCCAATCAAAATTGGATCTCCCCCCACAGCGCTGTCCACGACAGAGTTGCCCGACCGGCACCGCGAGGAGGTAGGGGGTTGTTTTGCCAGACACACGTACACACACACACGTACACACATGTACGCACAAACACATGTACACACACACACACACGTACACACACGTACGCACACACACACGTACACACACACACACGTGCACACATGTACACACACACGTACACACATGTACACACACATACACACATGTACACACACATACACACACACACACGTACACACATTTACGCACACGTACACACACCACACACGTGTACACACATGTACGCACGTACACTGACACGGAGTAACAGGTCACCTGCTTACATTCTCGATTTGAAGCTTTCGTGACTGCAAGGATTCATGCTCTTTGTTTTATTTTCGGTAAAGTCACGTTGGTTAAAATAAAAAAATGAAAACAACTAAATTAAATCACGACGTTTACCGAGGCAACACAAGCTTCCGTCTTCAGGTGGAACAGTCACAGCAGAATAGCTGTATCAAGTGAGGAGCTCTGAGACAACCGAGATTATATACAGGTTAAGGGGGGGGGAAGGAGCCAAGAAGGGGACGTGGGTGGGTGGGTGGGGGGGGAGGGCTGAGTTAAGCCGCCTTTTATTTTACCTACGTGAGTTTACTGAAAAAAAACAAAGAGTTTGAACACCTGAATTTTGACTTAAAGCTTTCGTGACTGCAGGGATTCGTATTCTTGGTTCTTTCGGTAAAGTCGTCACCACCGCGTTAGAAGGGAAACAATAAAATAATAAAAATATAAAACAGTAAAATTCTCACGACGTTTCGACTGCAACACAGGCAGCAATCATCATCAGGTGTGAAAACCACGGCAAGAACAATTTGAAGGAAAGTGGCGTTTAAAAAAAAAATATATCTAATTTTGAACACCTGCTTTACACTTTATTAATGAATCCCACTCTCGCACCCGTTGTAGGCACTCCCATGACTGCCTTCCACTCTCACCACACACTCTGCTTCTCCTACTACCCGCCCTCGCCTACTCCGCACCCCACCTACTCTCCCCTACCTCGCCCCGTACCCACTCACCCATCTGTCCCGGGCGGGGGAGTTCCGCCCAGAGACGGCGCGAGGGGCGAGGTCCCGTTGACGGCTACGAGCGGCAGCGACCGGGAAGTCTTCTCTCGTGGTCCCCGAGCAACTCCGCTTAGCTCCCGCGCACTCCCGCTTATATAGCCCTCCTCATTCCGAGTCCTCACGTGCTCCACACTTAAGCTGTCGCCTCCACGGCGCCTCTCCCTAATCATCGCCCCCCCCCATCTCCCGTCTCTCCGGGAGATGGGGGGGCGCGCCCCAACGCGCACACACCTGCTCGTCCTCCGTTGCACCCGCTTGTCCCTTTAATTGCCGCCGGCTCTCCGGCGCCAACCTCCTACCCCAACGTGCACACCTGCTCGTCCTCCGTTGCACCCGCTTCTCACCTTAGTTACCGCCGGCTCTCCGGCGCCAACCTCCTACCCCAACCCGCACACCTGCTCGTCCTCCGTTGCACCCGCTTCTCACCTTAATTACTGCCGTCTCTTCGGCGCCAACCTCCTACCCCAACGCGCACACCTGCTCGTCCTCCGTTGCACCCGCTCAACTGCGCGCACTGCGTACGTCTCTACTCTACACACGTGTACACACGCGTAAACACACACACATACACAAGCGTACACACGTGTCTGCCCGTGCGTCTACGTGTCTCTCCCCGTGTCTCACCGTGCGTCTCCCCGCCCGTGTCTCTCCCCGTGTCTCCCCGTGCGTCTCACCCCCGTGTCGCCCCGTGCGTCCATGTGGTTCTCCCTGAGTCTCACCGTGCGTCTCTCCCCGTGTCTCCCCGTGCATCTCCGCCCCCCCCCCCCCCCGTGTCTCCCCCCGTGTCTCCCCCCGTGTCTCACCGAGCGTCTCCCCCCGTGTCTCCCCGTGCGTCTCCGCGTCTCCCTCCGTGTCTCTCCCCGTGTCTCACCGTGCGTCTCCCCCCCGTGTCACCCCGTGCGTCTCCGTGTTTCTCCCTGAGTCTCACTGTGCGTCTCCCTCCGTGTCTCCCCGTGCGTCTCCCCCCCCCCCCCCGTGTCTCCCCCCGTGTCCCGCTCCGTCTCGCCCCGGCAGGAGGTAAAGGTGACATGGGGGTCATGGGCCTACCAGGGCCCTCGGGTCCCAGCGGCCTCCCGGGGACCCCAGGGTCACCCGGTCCCCCAGGTAAGACCCCGCTGGGTCAGGGGGGACCCCCTCTCTAAACAAGGGGGTCCTGCCCACAGCAAAGACAAAGATCCCCCGCGTAGCCTTAACAGACTGTTGGGGCAAGTGCTGTTAGCGTGTAGCAGCAGCTATGAAGGCCGGCACGGTAAACGAGGGGGTGGGTGGCCACCAGCACCACGCCCGGCCGCCTTTGTCTCCCCCAGTGGCGATGTTCACTACACCACCACCGCTACACCAGGTACTCATTTTAGGCCGAGTCGACCTAGGAGAGGGGTGGGTGAGTGGGTGGGTTGAGTGAGTGGGTGGGTGAGTGGGTGGGTGGGTGAGTGGTTGGGTGAGTGGGTGGGTGAGTGGGTGGGTGAGCGAGTGGGTGGGTGAGTGGGTGAGTGAGTGGGTGGGTGAGTGGGTGAGTGGATGAGCGAGTGGGTGGGTGGGTGAGCGAGTGGGTGGGCGAGTGAGTGGGTGGGTGGGCGAGTGGGTGGGTGAGTGGTTAGGTGGGTGGGTGGGTGGGTGAGTGGGTGGGTGGGTGAGTGGGTGGGTGAGTGAGTGGGTGGGTGGATGAGCGGGTTGGGTGGGTGAGCAAGTGGGTGGGCGAGTGAGTGGGTGGGTGAGGGAGTGGGTTGGTGAGCGGGTGGGTGAGTGGGTGGGTGAGTGGGTGGTTGGGTAAGTGGGCGATTTGGTGGGTGAGCGAGTGGGTTTGTGGGTGAGTGGTTGGGTGAGCGGTTGGGTGGGTGAGCGAGTGGGTGGGCTTATGAGTGGGTGGGTGGGTGAGCGAGTGGGTGGGTGAACGGTTTGGTGAGCAGTTGGGTGGGTGAGCGAGTGGGTGAGCGAGTGGGTGGGTGGGCGAGCGAGTGGGTGGGTGAGTAAGTGGGTGTATGGGTGAGCGAGTGGGTGGGCGAGTGAAGGGGTGGGTGGCTGAGCGAGTGGGTGGGTGAACGAGTGGGTGAGTGGCTGGGTGGGCGAGTTGGTGGGTGGATGAGTGAATGAATAAGTAAATGGGTGAGAGAGTGAGTGGGTGACTGAGTTAAAGTGTCGAATTTATTTTGATAGCTGCCACTGGGGGTGCCCTAGGCTAGACCACACAGCAGCAAGAGTGTGGCTAAATCCAAAATCTGGCAGAATCCAGATTCTGGCAGTATCCAAAATCTGGCAAAATCCAGATCCTAGCTGAATCCAAAATCTGGAAGAATCCAGATCCTGGCTAAATCAAAACTCTGGCAGAATCTAGATCCTAGCTGAATCCAAACTCTGGAAGAATCCAGATCCTGGCTGAATCCAAACTCTGGCAGAATCCAGATCCTAGCTGAATCCAAACTCTGGAAGAATCCAGATCCTGGCTAAATCCAAACTCTGGCAGAATCCAGATCCTAGCTGAATTCAAACTATGGCAGAATCCAGATCCTGGCAGAATCCAAACTCTGGAAGAATCCAGATCCTGGGTAAATCCAGATCCTGGCTGAATCCTGATCCTGGCTCAATCCAAATCCTGGCAGAATCCAGATCCTGGCTCAATCCAAACGCTGGCAGAATCCAGATCCTAGCTAAATCCAAACCCTGGCAGAATCCAAACTGTGGCAGGATCCAGATCCTGGCTGAATCCAAACTGTGGCAGAATCCAGATCCTGGCTCAATCCAAACTCTGGCAGAATCCAGATCCTGGCTAAATCCAAACTCTGGCAGAATCCAGATCCTAGCTGAATCCAAACTCTGGAAGAATCCAGATCCTGGCTAAATCCAAACTCTGGCAGAATCCAGATCCTAGCTGAATCCAAACTCTGGAAGAATCCAGATCCTGGCTCAATCCAAACTCTGGCAGAATCCAGATCCTAGCTGAATCCAAACTCTGGAAGAATCCAGATCCTGGGTAAATCCAGATCCTGGCTGAATCCAGATCCTGGCTCAATCCAAATCCTGGCAGAATCCAGATCCTGGCTCAATCCAAACGCTGGCAGAATCCAAATCCTAGCTAAATCCAAACCCTGGCAGAATCCAAACTGTGGCAGAATCCAGATCCTGGCTGAATCCAAACTATGGCAGAATCCAGATCCTGGCTAAATCCAAACCCTGGCAGAATCCAAACTGTGGCAGAATCCAGATCCTGGCTCAATCCAAACTGTGGCAGAATCCAGATCCTGGCTGAATCCAAACTATGGCAGAATCCAGATCCTGGCTAAATCCAAACTCTGGCAGAATCCAGATCCTAGCGGAATCCAAACTGTGTTAGAATCCAGATCCTGGCTCAATCCAATCTCTGGTCGAATCCAGATCCTGGCTGAATTCAAACTGTGGCAGAATCCAGATCCTAGCTGAATTCATCTATGGTATAATCCAGATCCTGGTTCAATCCAAACTGTGTCAGAATCCAGATCCTGGCTGAATTCAAACTCTGGCAGAATCCAGATCCTAGCTAAATCCAAACTCTGGAAGAATCCAGATCCTAGCTCAATCCAAACTGTGGCAGAATCCAGATCCTGGCAGAATCCAAAATCTGGCAGAATCCAGATCCTGGCTCAATCCAAATTGTGGCAGAATCCAGATCCTGGCTCAATCCAATGTCTGGCCGAATCCAGATCCTAGCTGAATCCAAACTTTGGCAGAATCCAGATCCTGGCTCAATTCAAACTCTGACAGAATCCAGATCCTGGCAGAGTCCAAACTGTGGCAGAATCCAGATCCTAGCTCAATACAAACTCTGGAAGAATCCAGATCCTAGCTGAATCTAAACTGTGGCAGAATCCAGATCCTAGCTGAATTCAAACTATGGCAGAATCCAGATCCTGGCTCAATCCAAATTGTGGCAGAATCCAGATCCTGGCTCAATCCAATCTCTGGCCGAATCCAGATCCTGGCTGAATTCAAACTGTGGCAGAATCCAGATCCTAGCGGAATACAAACTGTGGCAGAATCCAGATCCTGGCTGAATCCAAACTGTGGCAGAATCCAGATCCTGGCTCAATTCAAACTGTGGCAGAATCCAGATCCTAGCTGAATTCAAACTCTGGCAGAATTCAGATCCTAGGTAAATCCAAACTCTGGCAGAATCCAGATCCTAGCTGAATTCAAACTTTGGCAGAATCCAGATCCTGGCTCAATTCAAACTGTGGCAGGTTCCAGATCCTAACTAAATCCAAACTCTGGCAGAATCCAAAATCTGGCAGAATCCAGATCCTGGCTCAATTCAAACTGTGGCACAATCCAGATCCTGGCTCAATCCAAACTGTGTCAGAATCCAGATCCTAGCGGAATCCAAACTGTGGTAGAATCCAGATCCTGGCCCAATTCAAACTGTGGCAGAATCCAGATCCTAGGTAAATACAAACTTTGGCAGAATCCAGATCCTAGCTGAATTCAAACTTTGGCAGAATCCAGATCCTGGCAGAATCCAAACTCTGGCAGAATCCAGATCCTGGCTGAATTCAAACTATGGCAGAATCCAGATCCTGGCTCAATCCAAATTGTGGCAGAATCCAGATCCTGGCTCAATCCAATCTCTGGCCGAATCCAGATCCTGGCTGAATTCAAACTGTGGCAGAATCCAAATCCTGGCGGAATACAAACTGTGGCAGAATCCAGATCCTGGCTGAATCCAAACTGTGGCAGAATCCAGATCCTGGCTCAATTCAAACTGTGGCAGAATCCAGATCCTAGCTGAATTCAAACTCTGGCAGAATTCAGATCCTAGGTAAATCCAAACTCTGGCAGAATCCAGATCCTAGCTGAATTCAAACTTTGGCAGAATCCAGATCCTGGCTCAATTCAAACTGTGGCAGGTTCCAGATCCTAGCTAAATCCAAACACTGGCAGAATCCAGATCCTGGCAGAATCCAAAATCTGGCAGAATCCAGATCCTGGCTCAATCCAAACTGTGTCAGAATCCAGATCCTTGCTAAATTCAAACTCTGGCAGAATCCAGATCCTGGCTCAATCCAAACTATGGTAGAATCCAGATCCTGGCCCAATTCAAACTGTGGCAGAATCCAGATCCTAGGTAAATCCAAACTTTGGCAGAATCCAGATCCTAGCTGAATTCAAACTTTGGCAGAATCCAGATCCTGGCAGAATCCAAACTCTGGCAGAATTCAGATCCTGGCTGAATTCAAACTCTGGCAGAATCCAGATCCTGGCTCAATTTCAAACCCGTGGCAGATTCCATATTGCGGCTGAATCCAAACTCTGACTGAATCGAGATCCTGCGCAACAATGATTGTAATCAATCAGTCGTCGGCCTCTCCTCCGCGCAGGTTTTGACGGACGCCCAGGTGACCCAGGGATCCCTGGTTACGCCGGGGGACCCGGAGAGAAAGGGGACCGTGGGTTTCCAGGTCAACCGGGGGTCAGGCCCAACGTCACCGACCTAAGGGGACCCAAGGGGGACAGAGGGTCCCCAGGTACTCACGCACGGTCACCCAACCACGCTCACCCAACCACGCTCGCCCACGCACGCACTCACGCACGCTCACCCACACTCACGCGCGCACACTCACCCACGCTCACCCACACACACTCACCCACACCCACCCACACACACTCACACACACTCACCCACGCTCACCCACACTCACTCACGCACACTCACCTTCACAAACTCACCCACACTCACCCACACTCACCCACACACACACACTCACACACACACACCCACACTCACCGACACTCACCCACACACACTCACACACACACTCACCCACACTCACCCACACTCACACACACACTCACACACACACACACCCACACTCACCCACACACACTCACACACACTCACCCACACTCACCCACACACACACACTCACACACACACACCCACACTCACCGACACTCACCCACACACACTCACACACACACTCACCCACACTCACCCACACTCAACAACAACACCAACAACCGCCATTCGCCACTAAGTGGCGGTGACGTCACCACGACGCTTGTGCCAGGCTATGTGCACCGTGAGGCCACGTGAAGTGTCGAACGCCCGCTGGCAGGAGGTCACTGGGCAGACCCAGCAGGTGCCACGGGTCGACTGACTGAGATGACTGGCTGATGCACCACCTGTGCCCCCTACTGTGCCAACCTGATGTGCTTTAGCCACCCGGCGCTCCGCTCGTTGTTGTGAGCGTCGCTCCTCCGCCCTCCGTTGTTGTTGGACGGCGACTGCCTCCAACTGCCCAGTAGCATCCTTCACGAGCCTCCTCCACAGAGGCCGATCTTGACACCGCTGGTACCAGTCATCGGCAAGTCCACTCAGCTCCACTTCCTCCTGTACCACATCACTCCATCTCTTCTCTAGCCCGTGCCGCGCCCGCTTAGCCCCTTCAATCCGGCCAAACAAAAGCTGTTTCGGCATGCGGTGACTGGGCATGCGGGCTACATGACCCAGCCATCGCAGCCTTGCCTGCCGGAGGAGCTCACCGATGGGACCCTGCCCAGATCTTTCAAGGATTTGTGAGCTCCTCACACAATCCAGTCTGGTTAAACCCAGGATGGATCGTAGGCAGGCCAGCCTAAATGTTTCTAACCGGCGAAGATGTTCCATTAGGGGGGTCCACGTTTCGCAAGCGTAGAGAAGGGAGGGAATGACCGTGGCCGAGAAGACCCGAAGCTTAGTGCGGAGCGACAGACCAGGTAGCTTCCAGACAGCGTTACGCAACCGATGAAAATATATTGCCGCTCGACTGATTCGGAGTGAGACCTCTGCTGTTAAACTGGAGCCAGTCATAAGCACACTGCCCAGGTATGGGAAACTCTCCACTCTCTCCACAACTGCCCCATCACCGATTGGGAGTTGTGGGGGTTGAGTGTCCGATGGTACAAAATACCCAGGCAGGTGCTTAGTTTTGGTGGGGCTGATGGTAAGGCCCCACCTCTTAGAGGCACGCTCTAGTCTCAGCAGCAGCGTCTCCAACTCCTCCTCTGACTGAGCAGCTATTACCAAATCATCAGCATACATAACGTGGTTGAGCAATAGGGAGCCATCCCTTGACCGCACCCGGGCATCGATCAGCCTCCCATTATATCTGTACCATATGGAGATTCCCCCGGTACAGCTATTGAAGGCTTCACGAACTACGTGGTCAAAATAGATGCTAAATAATGTGGGAGCCAGAGGACATCCCTGTCGCACCCCAAGGTGTACAGAGAATGGCTCTGACTCCCGGCCATGTAGTTTTACCCGGGCCCGCTCACCATCATGAAGGTCCTTAATGATCGTGAGCAGAGGGTCAGGTACTCCAAAAGCACGAAGAACAACCCAGAGCCCAGGCCTACTGATGGTATCATAGGCCTTGACCAGGTCAATAAAGCAGAGATGTAGGTCTTGTTGGAATTCCCTACACCTCTGCTGTAGCAGACGGACAGATAATATGGCATCTGTGCAGGACCGCCCTTTCCTGAAACCGCATTGGGGCTCCGCAAGCCTCTCCTCAGCGTGCCTGGCAAGGCGATGCTGAATAATCCTTGCCAGGACCTTTCCCGGCACACTGAGGAGTGAGATGCCCCTATAGTTGTTACAGTCTGTGCGGTCCCCCTTCTTAAAAAGGGGGACCACCAGGGCATCCTTCCAATCCTGCGGAACCCGTCCAGTGGTCCAGACCGTTGTTATGATGTCATATAGGGCAGTCTGTGCACAAACGCCACACTCCCTCAGCATTTCGCTTGGGAGATCATCTCTGCCCTTTGCCTTTCCTGGTCTCAGACTCCGGATCGCCTTCAGTACTTCCTCAACAGATGGCACCTCAGCCAGCCACTCACAGGGGGTGACTTCTTCCAATATTTGAGGCACCGCAGCCACAGCAGGGCCATCCTCACTTTGTGCCACGATGTTTTCCTGGCTGAGGGATTTTCCCTCCCCCAGGACCTCACAGAAATGCTCAGCAAATCTGCAAACCTGTTCCTGGGGGTCGGAGATTGGATCACCGTTTTTTCACCTAATGATGGTAATAGGTGTGGCGCTGCAGGTTACTTTTTTGATGGAGTTAAATAGAGATTTGTGATCGCGGGCCACTGAGGCAGACTCCATCTCCTCAGCAACCCGCGACCACCACCCATCCTTGCAGCGCCTCACGGCTCTCCGAACCTCCGAGCGAAGGCTGCGGTAAGCCTCCTCATTCTCTGACGTGGGATTCTGTAGCCGATGACACTGGGCCTTTCGCTTTTTCTCAACCATCCTAAACACCTCCTCTGTCAGCCAGGGTCTCTGGGGAGGTCTGGACCGCGTACCCAAAGCAGCCATTGCAGCTGCATGAGCCACAGTCCTAAACCTCGCCCATTTACCCTCGACATCAAGAGGAGTCGGGGACGATGCCAATCCCAGCCGCAAGCGATGATGAAATTCTCGCTTGCAACTTTCATCAGATAACTGAGACCAGGCCACTTTAGGTTGGAATGGGGTCCTGGGTGTACACCCACCACTGGAGTGGAAGAATGGCAGGCGCATCTTACAAATGACTAGTCGATGGTCAGAGGGCAGATCAGCTCCACGGTAGGTCCTGGTGTCAAGGACATGGGCTCGCATCCGCTGGTCCGTCACTATGTAGTCCAGCAGATGTTCTTGCTTGGACCCGGCATGCATCCATGATGTTGTGTGGATGCGCCGATGCCGGAACAGCATGTTGGTAATTACAAAAATCTAGCAGCATCCTACCGTTGTTATTGAGCTGATCTGGCCCATGCCCTCCAATCACTCCAGACCAGGTGCCAGTATCATGACCAACTCGGGCATTGAAGTCACCCAACATGATGACTCTATCCCGAGGGGCCACTTTAGCCAGCACCTGTGACAGGAGGTCATAGAAGGCATCTGATTCATCGGCTTTGCCTGCATCCCTCCACGGATGTTCATCTTCGGTGGGGGAATAAGTAACCACGACCACCATTCCTCGCCTCCGGTTGATGGGAAGGCGAGCCCAAAGTAGCCTGGGGTTTACAGCTTCCCACAAAAGAAGAGCCACACCCTGTTGTTTGGCAGTCTGCTTCCCCGAGTAGAGAACTGTCCACCCCTCATGGTGGCAGGAGCCAGAGCCGCTCCACCGGACCTCCTGAATGCCACAGAGATCCAGGCGGTACCGGTCCAGCTCCCGACAGAGGAGTGGCAGCCTCTCCTCCGCAGTGAGCGTTCGAACATTCCACCTACACAAACTCACCCACACTCACCCACACACACATTCACCCACACTCACACCCTCACACACACGCATGCTCACCCACACCCACACAAACACACTCACACTCACCCACACTCACACACACACTCACACACACACACACACTCACCGACACTCACCCACACACACACACACCCACACACACGCACTCACACACACACACCCACACTCACCCACACTCACCCACACACACTCACACACACACACTCACATACACACACACACACACACCCACACTCACCCACACACACTCACACACACTCACATACACCCACACACACACACCAACACACCCACACTCACCCACACACACGCACTCACACGCACCCACACTCGCCCACACACACTCACACACACTCACATACACACACACACCCACACACACACACCAACACACTCACCCACACACACGCACTCACACGCACCCACACTCGCCCACACACACTCACACACACTCACATACACACACACCAACACACCCACTCACCCACACACACGCACTCACACTCATCCACACTCACCCACACACACACTCACACACACACTCACACACCCACACACACACCCACACACACACCCACACACACACTCACACACACACTCACACACACACCCACACACACACTCACACACACACCCACACACACTCACACACACACCCACACACACACTCACACACACACCCACACACACTCACACACACACTCACACACACACTCACACACACACACTCACACACACACACTCACCTACCCCCTCGTGTGCCACAGCGCCGGTAGCCTTCAGAGGTGCTGCAGCTCGCTACAAACAGCACTTGCCCCACCACTCTGTTGAGGCTACACGGGGGACCTTTGTCTGTGTCTACCTTCATAGGTGCTGCTACTCGCTACTAACAGCACTTGCCCCACCACTCTGTTGAGGCTACACGGGGGACCTTTGTCTGTGTCTACCTTCATAGGTGCTGCTACTCGCTACTAACAGCACTTGCCCCACCACTCTGTTGAGGCTACACGGGGGACCTTTGTCTGTGTCTACCTTCATAGGTGCTGCTACTCGCTACTAACAGCACTTGCCCCACCACTCTGTTGAGGCTACACGGGGGACCTTTGTCTGTGTCTACCTTCATAGGTGCTGCTACTCGCTACTAACAGCACTTGCCCCACCACTCTGTTAAGGCTACACGGGGGATCTTTGTCTGTGTCTAACTTCATAGCTGCTGCTACTCGCTACTAACAGCACTTGCCCCTACAATCTGTAGAGGCTACACGGGGGATCTTTGTCTGTGTCTAACTTCATAGCTGCTGCAACTCGCTACTAACAGCACTTGCCCCAGCAGTCTGTAGAGGCTACACGGGGGACCTTTGTCTGTGTCTACCTTCATAGGTGCTGCTGCTACTCGCTACTAACAGCACTTGCCCCAGCAGTCTGTAGAGGCTACACGGGGATCTTTGTCTTTGTACCCCTCTAGGACGGGATGGGGGCCCAGGTCCCCCAGGATTTTCGGGGTCTCCTGGGAACCCCGGATCCCCAGGGTCCCAGGGACTCCCCGGGCCGTCAGGATCCCCAGGTATGGACCCCTGTTGTACCTGTGTGTACCTGTGTGTGTGTATACCTGTGTACCTGTGTGTGTGTACCTGTGTGTGTGTGTTCCTGTGTACCTGTGTGTGTACCTATGTGTGTGTGTGTGTACCTGTGTATGTGTACCTGTGTACCTGTGTGTGTGTACCTGTGTGTGTGTACCTGTGTATCTGTGTGTGTGTACCTGTGTATGTGTGTGTATCTGTGTGTGTGTACCTGTGTGTGTGTACCTATGTATCTGTGTGTGTGTACCTGTGTGTGTGTACCTGTGTGTGTGTGTGTACCTGTGTGTGTGTACCTGTGTGTGTGTACCTGTGTACCTGTGTGTACGTGTGTACCTGTGTGTGTGTACCTGTGTGTGTGTGTACCTGTGTGTGTGTAGTGGGGAGCGATAGTGTAGCGGTTAGCGCGCTGCGCTATGAACCTGGCCACCCGGGTTCGATTCCCGCTCACGGCCAACACCAGTGACGATTATCTGAACCGGTCCCGGGCCTCCCCTAGGTCGACTCAGCCTCAAATGAGTACCTGGTACGGTGTGTAAACATCGTCACTGGGGAGACAAAGGCGGTCGGGCGTGGTGCTGGCCACCCACCCCCTCGTGTACCGTTCCGGCCTTCATAGGTGCTCGCTAACAGCACTTGCCCCTACAGTCTGTTAAGGCTATACGGGGGATCTTTGTCTTTGTCTTTGTGTGTACCTGTGTGTGTACCTGTGTACTTGTGTGTGTACCTGTGTGTGTGTACCTGTGTGTGTGTACCTGTGTGTGTGTACCTGTGTGTGTGTGTGTACCTGTGTGTGTGTACCTGTGTGTGTGTACCTGTGTGTGTGTACCTGTGTGTGTGTACCTGTGTGTGTGTACCTGTGTGTGTGTGTGTACCTGTGTACATGTGTGTGTGTACCTGTGTGTGTGTACCTGTGTGTGTGTACCTGTGTGTGTGTGTACCTGTGTGTGTGTGTGTGTACCTGTGTACCTGTGTGTGTGTGTACCTGTGTACCTGTGTGTGTGTACCCGTGTGTGTACCCGTGTGTGTACCTGTGTGTGTGTGTGTACCTGTGTGTGTGTGTGTGTACCTGTGTGTGTGTGTGTACCTGTGTGTGTGTGTGTACCTGTGTGTGTGTACCTGTGTGTGTGTACCTGTGTGTGTGTACCTGTGTGTGTGTGTGTACCTGTGTGTGTACCTGTGTGTGTACCTGTGTGTGTGTACCTGTGTGTGTACCTGTGTGTGTGTGTACCTGTGTGTGTGTGTGTACCTGTGTACCTGTGTGTGTGTGTACCTGTGTACCTGTGTGTGTGTACCCGTGTGTGTACCCGTGTGTGTACCTGTGTGTGTGTGTACCTGTGTGTGTGTGTACCTGTGTGTGTGTGTACCTGTGTGTGTGTGTATCTGTTTGTGTGTATCTGTGTGTATGTGTGTGTATGTGTGTGTACCTGTGTACCTGTGTGTGTACCTGTGTATGTGTGTGTACCTGTGTGTGTGTACCTGTGTGTGTGTGTACCTATGTATCTGTGTGTGTACCTGTGTGTGTGTGTGTACCTGTGTGTGTACCTGTGTGTGTGTACCTGTGTGTGTGTGTACCTGTGTACCTGTGTGTACGTGTGTACCTGTGTGTGTGTACCTGTGTGTGTGTACCTGTGTGTGTGTGTACCTGTGTACCTGTGTGTACGTGTGTACCTGTGTGTGTGTGTACCTGTGTGTGTGTACCTGTGTGTGTGTGTGTACCTGTGTGTGTACCTTTGTGTGTACCTGTATGTGTGTACCTGTGTGTGTGTACCTGTGTGTGTGTACCTGTGTGTGTACCTGTGTGTGTGTACCTGTGTGTGTGTACCTGTGTGTGTGTATCTGTCTGTGTGTACCTGTGTGTGTGTGTGTACCTGTGTACCTGTGTGTGTACCTGTGTGTGTGTGTACCTGTGTGTGTACCTGTGTGTGTGTACCTGTGTGTGTACGTGTGTGTGTGTGTGTACCTGTGTGTGTGTACGTGTGTGTGTACCTGTGTGTGTGTACCTGTGTGTGTGTACGTGTGTGTGTGTACCTGTGTGTGTGTACCTGCATGTGTGTATGTGTGTGTGTGTGTCTGTGTGTGTATGTGTGTGTATGTGTGTGACTGTGTGTGTGTGTGTGACTGTGTGTGTGTATGTGTGTGTCTGTGTGTATGTGTGTGACTATGTGCGTGTGTGACTGTGCGTGTGTGACTGTGTGTGTGTGTATGTGTGTATGTATGTGGGGAGCGGTAGTGTAGCGGTTAGCGCGCTGCGCTATGAACCTGGCGACCCGGGTTCGATTCCCGCTCACGGCCAACACCAGTGACGATTATTTGAACCGGTCCCGGGCCTCCCCTAGGTCGACTCAGCCTCAAATGAGTACCTGGTGTGGTGTGTAAACATCGTCACTAGGGAGACAAAGGCGGTCGGGCGTGGTGCTGGCCACCCACCCCCTCGTGTACCGTTCCGGCCTTCATAGGTGCTCGCTAACAGCACTTGCCCCTACAGTCTGTTAAGGCTATACGGGGGATCTTTGTCTTTGTATGTGTGTGTGTGTCTGTGTGTGTGTGTATGTGTGTGTGTGTGTATGTGTGTGTATGTGTGTGTCTGTATGACTGTGTATGTGTGTGACTGTGTGTGTGTATGTGTGTGTGTGTCTGTGTGTGTGTGAGACTGTGTGTATATGTATGTGTGTGTATGTGTGTGTATGTGTGTCTGTGTATGTATGTGTGTATTTCTGTGTGTATGTGTGTGTGTGCATATACTTAATTCGCGGTTTAGTGTGAGGTCCTGGGGGAGGGAAAATCCCTCAGCCAGGAAAACATCGTGGCACAAAGTGAGGATGACCCTGCTGAGGCTGCGGTGCCTCAAATATTGGAAGAAGTCCCCCCTGTGAGTGGCTGGCTGAGGTGCCATCTGTTGAGGAAGTACTGAAGGCGATCCGGAGTCTGAGACCAGGAAAGGCAGCGGACAGAGATGATCTCCCAAGCGAAATGCTGAGGGAGGGTGGCGTTTGTGCACAGACTGCCCTATATGACATCATAACAACAGTCTGGACCACTGGATAGGTTCTGCAGGATTGGAAGGATGCCCTGGTGTTCCCCATTTTTAAGAAGGGGGACCGCACAGACTGTAACAACTACAGGGGCATCTCACTCCTCAGTGTGCCGGGAAAGGTCCTGGCAAGGATTATTCAGCATCGCCTTGCCAGTCACGCTGAGGAGAGGCTTGCGGAGCCTTAATGCGGTTTCAGGAAAGGGCGGTCCTGCACAGATGCCATATTTTCTGTCCGTCTGCTACAGCAGAGGTGTAGGGAATTCCAACAAGACCTACACCTCTGCTTTATTGACCTGGTCAAGGCCTATGATACCATCAGTAGGCCTGGGCTCTGGGTTGTTCTTCGTGCTTTTGGAGTACCTGACCCTCTGCTCACGATCATTAAGGACCTTCATGATGGTGAGCGGGCCCGGGTAAAACTACGTGGCCGGGAGTCAGAGCCATTCCCTGAACACCTTGGGGTGTGACAGGGATGTCCTCTGGCTCCCACATTATTTAACATCTATTTTGACCACGTAGTTCGTGAAGCCTTCAATAGCTGTACCGGGAGAATCTCCATATGGTACAGATATAATGGGAGGCTGATCGATGCCCGGGTGCGGTCAAGGGATGGCTTCCTATTGCTCAACCACGTTATGTATGCTGATGATTTGGTAATAGCTGCTCATTCAGAGGAGGAGTTGGAGACGCTGCTGCTGAGACTAGAGCCTGCCAATAAGAGGTGGGGCCTTACCATCAGCCGGACACAAAACTAAGCACCTGCCTGGGTATTTTGTACCATCGGACACTCCACCCCCACAACTCCCAATCGGTGATGGGGCAGTTGTGGAGCGAGTGGAGAGTTTCCCATACCTGGGCAGTGTGCTTATGACTGTCTCCAGTTTAACAGCAGAGGTCTCACTCCGAATCAGACGAGCGGCAATATCTTTTCATCGGTTGCGTAACGCTGTGTGGAAGCTACCTGGTCTGTCGCTCCGCACTAAGATTAAGGTCTTCTCGGCCACGGTCATTCCCTCCCTTCTCTGCGCTTGTGAAACGTGGACCCCCCTAATGGAACATCTTCGCCGGTTAGAAACATTTAGGCTGGCCTGCCTACGATCCATCCTGGGTTTAACCAGACTGGATTGTGTGAGGAGCTCACAAATCCTTGAAAGATCTGGGCAAGGTCCCATCGGTGAGCTCCTCCAGCGGGCAAGGCTGCGATGGCTGGGTCATGTATCCCGCATGCCCAGCCACCGCATGCCTAAACAGCTTTTGTTCGGCCGGATTGAGGGGGCTAAACGGGCGTGGCATGGGCTAGAGAAGAGATGGAGTGATGTGGTAGACGTGGAGCTGAGTGGACTTGCCGATGACTGGTACCAGGGGTATCAAGATCGGCCTCTCTGGAGGAGGCTCGTGAAGGACGCTACTGGGAAGTTGGAGGCAGTCGCCCTCCAACAACAACGGAGGGCGGAGGAGCGACGCTCACAACAACGAGCGGAGCGCTGGGCGGCTAAAGCACAGCAGGTTGGCACAGTAGGGGGCACAGGTGGTGCATCAGCCAGTCATCTCAGTCAGTCGACCCCTGGTACCTGGGTCTGCCCAGTGACCTCCTGCCAGCGGGCGTTCGACACTTCACGTGGCCTCAGGATGCACATAGCCTGGCACAAGCGTCGTGGTGACGTCACCGCCACTTAGTGGTGAATCGCGGTTGTTGTTGTGTGTGCATGTGTGTGTCTGTGTGTGTGACTATGTGTATAGGTATGTGTGTGTATGTGTGTGTGTCTGTGTGTGTGAGTGTGTGTGACTGTATGTGTGTGTGTATGTTTATGTGTGTGACTGTGTCTGTGTGTATGTGTGTGTCTGTGTGTGTATGTGTGTGTGTATTTGTGTGTGTCTGTGTGTGTGTATGTGTGTATGTGAATGTGTGTGAATATGTGTATGTGCGTGTCTGTGTGTGTGTGTGTGCAGGTGTGAAGGGTGAGAGGGGGTTCCCGGGTCAGCCTGGCAGCCCCGGGCAATCCGGAGAGAAGGGGGATTCGGGAGAGCTTGGGATACCAGGTGGAGTGCACACACACACACATACACACGCAGGTACACACACACGTACACACACACGTACACACACACACGTGTACACACACGTACACACACACGTGTACACACACACACGTGTACACACACACACAGTCACACACACATACACACAGTCACACACACATACACACAGTCACACACATACACATACATACACATGCATACACACACATACACGTTCACACACGCAGGTACACACACACGTACACACACACACACACGTGTACACACATGCATATACACACGTGTACACACACACACGTACACACACACGTGTACACACACACGTACACACACACGTGTACACACACACACGTGTACACACACACGTACACACACACGTGCACATACGCAGGTACACACACACGTGTACACACACACACGTGCACACACACGTGTACACACACACGTGTACACACACACGTGTACACACACACGTACACACACATGTACACACATGTACACACACACGTGTACACACGCAGGTACACACACACGCAGGTACACACACGTACACACACACGTACACACACACGTGTACACACACACGTGCACACACGCAGGTACACACATATATACACACACACGTGTACACACGCAGGTACACACACACGTGTACACACACACACACACACGTGTACACACACACGTACACACACACGTACACACAAACACACGTGTACACACACACGTACACACACACACACGTACACACACATGTACACACATGTACACACACACGTGTACACACGCAGGTACACACACATGCAGGTACACACACGTACACACACACGTACACACACACACGTGCACACACACACGTGTACACACGCAGGTACACACATATACACACACACGTGTACACACGCAGGTACACACACACACGTGTACACACACACACACACGTGTACACACACACGTACACACACACACGTACACACAAACACACGTGTACACACACACGTACACACACACACGTACACACACACACGTGTACACACACGTACACACACACACGTGTACACACACACACACACGTGTACACACACACGTACACACACACACGTGTACACACACACACGTGTACACACACACGTACACACACGTGTACACACACATACACGTGCACATACACGTGCACACACGTGTACACACACACACGTGCACACACACACGTGTACACACACACACGTGTACACACACACGTACACACATGTGTACACACATACACGTGCACACACACACGTGCCCACACATGTGTACACACACACGTGCACACACACGTACACACACACGTGTACACACACACGCATACACACACAAGTACACATACACGTACACACACGTGCACACACACACGTACACACACACACACGTGCACACACAAATATACACACACATACACGGTGTGTACTAATCATCGTCGTAAGGGAGACAAAGGCGGCCGGGCGTGGTGCTGGCGTCCCACCACCTCGTGTGCCACAGTGCCGGTAGCCTTCATAGGTGCTGCTGCTACTCGCTACTTACAGCACTTGCCCCTGCACTCTGTTGAAGCTACACGGGGGACCTTTGTATGTGTGCGTGCAGGACCCCCTGGCAGTATCGGCGTCCCTGGGGCTGCGGGGTCCCCGGGGTCGCCCGGGTCCCCCGGGTTCGCAGGGTCCAAGGGGGCCAAGGGGGAGCCCTCTCCACCCGGACTGGGATTCCCCGGCAGGGCAGGAGAGAAGGTGACCAGCTTCGCAGCGCCACGCGCTCTTATCCACTGCTGGATGAGCATCAATCAATGTCACGACGATGACGTCACTAGGCCTGTGTATACCACGTGTTCATCTCTTTCTCCAGCTGTGATTCATATCAACACCGTGGTCTTATCCACTGCTGGATGAGGATCATCAATGTTATGACGATGATGATGATGACGTACCTGTGTGTACCACGTGTTCATCTCTCTCCAGCTGTGATTCATATCAACACCGTGGTCTTATCCACTGCTGGATGAGCATCAATCAATATGACGACGATGACGTCACTAGCCCTGTGTGTACCACGTGTTCATCTCTCTCGCTGTGATTCATATCAACACCGTGGTCTTATCCACTGCTGGATGAGGATCATCAATGTGATGACGATGACGTCACTAGCCCTCTGTGTACCACGTGTTCATCTCGCTGTGATTCATATCAACACTGTGGTCTTATCCACTGCTGGATGAGAAGCACCAATGTGACGATGATGACGTCACTAGCCCTGTGTGTACCACGTGTTCATCTCTCTCCAGCTGTGATTCATATCAACACCGTGGTCTTATCCACTGCTGGATGAGAATCGTCAATGTGACGACTATGACGTCACTCTTGCCCTGTGTGTACCACGTGGTTATCTCTCTCTCCAGCTGTGATTTATATCAACACCGTGGTCTTATCCACTGCTGGATGAGGATCGTCAATGCGACGATGATGCCGTCACTCTTGCCCTGTGTGTACCACGTGGTCATCCCTCTCTCCAGCTGTGATTCATATCAACTCCCGTGGTCTTATCCACTGCTGGATGAGGATCCTCAACGTGACGATGATGACGTCACTAGCCCTGTGTGTACCACGTGTTCATCTCTCTCTCGCTGTGATTCATATCAACACCGTGGTCTTATCCACTGCTGGATGAGAAGCATCAATGTGACGATGATGACGTCACTAGCCCTGTGTGTACCACGTGTTCATCTCTCTCTCGCTGTGTTTCATATCAACACCGTGGTCTTATCCACTGCTGGATGAGGATCATCAATGTGACGATGATGACGTCACTAGCCCTGTGTGTACCACGTGTTCATCTCTCTCTCGCTGTGATTCATATCAACACCGTGGTCTTATCCACTGCTGGATGAGGATCATCAATGTGACGACGATGACGTCACTAGACCTGTGTGTACCACGTGTTCATCTCTCGCTCGCTGTGAGTCCTATCAACACTGTGGTCTTATCCACTGCTGGATGAGGATCATCAATGTGACGATGATGACGTCACTAGCCCTGTGTGTACCACGTGTTCATCTCTCTCTCTCGCTGTGATTCATATCAACACCGTGGTCTTATCCACTGCTGGATGAGGATCATCAATGTGACGACGATGACGTCACTAGCCCTGTGTGTACCACGTGTTCATCTCTCTCTCGCTGTGTTTCATATCAACACCCGTGGTCTTATCCACTGCTGGATGAGGATCGTCAATGTGACGACGATGACGTCACTAGCCCTGTGTGTACCACGTGTTCATCTCTCTCGCTGTGATTCATATCAACACCGTGGTCTTATCCACTGCTGGATGAGGATCATCAATGTGACGATGATGACGTCACTAGCCCTGTGTGTACCACGTGTTCATCTCTCTCTCGCTGTGATTCATATCAACACCGTGGTCTTATCCACTGCTGGATTAGAAGTATCAATGTGACGATGATGACGTCACTAGCCCTGTGTGTACCACGTGTTCATCTCTCGCTGTGATTCATATCAACACCGTGGTCTTATCCACTGCTGGATGAGGATCATCAATGTGACGATGATGACGTCACTAGCCCTGTGTGTACCACGTGTTCATCTCTCGCTCGCTGTGAGTCATCAACACTGTGGTCTTATCCACTGCTGGATGAGAAGCATCAATGAGACGATGATGACGTCACTAGCCCTGTGTGTACCACGTGTTCACCTCGCTGTGATTCATATCAACACCGTGGTCTTATCCACTGCTGGATGAGGATCATCAATGTGACGATGATGACGTACCTGTGTGTACCACGTGTTCATCTCTCTCGCTGTGATTCATATCAACACCCGTGGTGTTATCCACTGCTGGATGAGGATCATCAATGTGAAGACGATGACGTCACTAGCCCTGTGTGTACCACGTGTTCATCTCTCTCCAGCTGTGATTCATATCAACACCGTGGTCTTATCCACTGCTGGATGAGCATCAATCAATGTAACGACGATGACGTCACTAGCCCTGTGTGTACCACGTGTTCATCTCTCTCGCTGTGATTCATATCAACACCGTGGTCTTATCCACTGCTGGATGAGGATCATCAATGTGATGACGATGACGTCACTAGCCCTCTGTGTACCACGTGTTCATCTCGCTGTGATTCATATCAACACTGTGGTCTTATCCACTGCTGGATGAGAAGCACCAATGTGACGATGATGACGTCACTAGCCCTGTGTGTACCACGTGTTCATCTCTCTCCAGCTGTGATTCATATCAACACCGTGGTCTTATCCACTGCAGGATGAGAATCGTCAATGTGACGACGATGACGTCACTCTTGCCCTGTGTGTACCACGTGGTTATCTCCCTCTCCAGCTGTGATTTATATCAACACCGTGGTCTTATCCACTGCTGGATGAGGATCGTCAATGTGACGATGATGACGTCACTCTTGCCCTGTGTGTACCACGTGGTCATCCCTCTCTCCAGCTGTGATTCATATCAACTCCCGTGGTCTTATCCACTGCTGGATGAGGATCCTCAACGTGACGATGATGACGTCACTAGCCCTGTGTGTACCACGTGTTCATCTCTCTCTCGCTGTGATTCATATCAACACCGTGGTCTTATCCACTGCTGGATGAGAAGCATCAATGTGACGATGATGACGTCACTAGCCCTGTGTGTACCACGTGTTCATCTCTCACTCGCTGTGTTTCATATCAACACCGTGGTCTTATCCACTGCTGGATGAGGATCATCAATGTGACGATGATGACGTCACTAGCCCTGTGTGTACCACGTGTTCATCTCTCTCTCGCTGTGATTCATATCAACACCGTGGTCTTATCCACTGCTGGATGAGGATCATCAATGTGACAACGATGACGTCACTAGACCTGTGTGTACCACGTGTTCATCTCTCGCTCGCTGTGAGTCCTATCAACACTGTGGTCTTATCCACTGCTGGATGAGGATCATCAATGTGACGATGATGACGTCACTAGCCCTGTGTGTACCACGTGTTCATCTCTCTCTCTCGCTGTGATTCATATCAACACCGTGGTCTTATCCACTGCTGGATGAGGATCATCAATGTGACGACGATGACGTCACTAGCCCTGTGTGTACCACGTGTTCATCTCTCTCTCGCTGTGTTTCATATCAACACCCGTGGTCTTATCCACTGCTGGATGAGGATCGTCAATGTGACGACGATGACGTCACTAGCCCTGTGTGTACCACGTGTTCATCTCTCTCGCTGTGATTCATATCAACACCGTGGTCTTATCCACTGCTGGATGAGGATCATCAATGTGACGATGATGACGTCACTAGCCCTGTGTGTACCACGTGTTCATCTCTCTCTCGCTGTGATTCATATCAACACCGTGGTCTTATCCACTGCTGGATTAGAAGTATCAATGTGACGATGATGACGTCACTAGCCCTGTGTGTACCACGTGTTCATCTCTCGCTGTGATTCATATCAACACCGTGGTCTTATCTACTGCTGGATGAGGATCATCAATGTGACGATGATGACGTCACTAGCCCTGTGTGTACCACGTGTTCATCTCTCGCTCGCTGTGAGTCATCAACACTGTGGTCTTATCCACTGCTGGATGAGAAGCATCAATGAGACGATGATGACGTCACTAGCCCTGTGTGTACCACGTGTTCACCTCGCTGTGATTCATATCAACACCGTGGTCTTATCCACTGCTGGATGAGGATCATCAATGTGACGATGATGACGTACCTGTGTGTACCACGTGTTCATCTCTCTCGCTGTGATTCATATCAACACCCGTGGTGTTATCCACTGCTGGATGAGGATCATCAATGTGAAGACGATGACGTCACTAGCCCTGTGTGTACCACGTGTTCATCTCGCTGTGATTCATATCAACACCGTGGTCTTATCCACTGCTGGATGAGAAGCATCAATGAGACGATGATGACGTCACTAGCCCTGTGTGTACCACGTGTTCATCTCTCTCTCGCTGTGATTCATATCAACACCCGTGGTCTTATCCACTGCTGGATGAGGATCATCAATGTGACGACGATGACGTCACTAGCCCTGTGTGTACCACGTGTTCATTTCTCTCTCGCTGATTCATATCACCCCCCCCCACCACCACCACCACGTATAGCACACAGACAAAAGTGCCCCAGGTAGTCTGTGTGAATGTGTGTGGGGGGGGGGGGGTGGAGCAGTAGTACAGCGGTTAGCGCTACGCTGCGCTATGAACCCGGCGACCCGGGTTCGATTCCCGCTCACGGCCAACACCGGCGGTGACGATTATCTGGACCTGGGTCCTGGGCCTCCCCTAGGTCGACTCAGCCTCAATTGAGTACCTGGTGTGGTGTGTAAACATCGCCACTGGGGGAGACAAAGGCGGCCGGGCGTGGTGCTGGCCACCCACCCCCTCGTGGGCCACAGTGCCGGTAGCACTCATAGGTGCTGCTACTCGCTAACGGCACTTGCCCCAGCAGTCTGTAGAGGCTACACGGGGGACCTTTGTCTCTGTCTACCTTCATAGGTGCTGCTACTCGCTACTAACAGCACTTGCCCCTACAGTCTGTCGAGGCTACACGGGGGACCTTTGTCTTTGTGTCCGTGTGTACAGGGCGACCCAGGATTCCCAGGGTCACCAGGGACCGGGACTCGGGGCTTGCCGGGGTCACCGGGTCAGCCGGGGTCACCGGGATTTACCGGCGCCAAGGGGGAGAAGGGGTCAGATGGACGGCCAGGTACACACACACACACGTGTACACACACACACACACGTGTTGCACACACACACGTGTACACACACACACACGTGTACACACACACACACACGTGAACACACACACGTGTACATACACACACACACGTGTTGCACACACACACGTGTACACACACACACACGTGTACACACACACACAGACGTGAACACACACACATGTACACACACACACGTGTACACACACACACACGTATACACACACACGTGTACACACACGTGTACACACACAGTGTACACACACACACAGTGTACACACACACGTACACACACACACGTGTACATAACTCGGTGTTCAGTTCCCAGTTCGGTTCCATAACTCGGTGTGGGTTGTAGAAGTTGTTGTGGTGGTTGTTGTGGTGGTTCTTGTTATTGTGGTGGTGGTTGTTGTGGTGGTGGTTGTTGTGGTGGTTGTTGTGGTGGTGGTTGTAGTGGTGGTTGTTGTGGTGGTTCTTGTTATTGTGGTGGTGGTTGTTGTGGTGGTGGTTGTTGTGGTGGTTGTTGTGGTGGTTCTTGTTATTGTGGTGGTGGTTGTTGTGGTGGTGGTTGTTGTGGTGGTTGTTGTGGTGGTTCTTGTTATTGTGGTGGTGGTTGTTGTGGTGGTTCTTGTTATTGTGGTGGTGGTTGTTGTGGTGGTGGTTGTTGTGGTGTTGGTTGTGGTAGTTGTGGTGGTTGTGGTTGTAGATGTTGTTGTGGTGGTTGTTGTGGTGGCGGTTGTAGTAGTTGTGGTGGTTGTGGTTGTAGATCTTGTTGTGGTGGTTGATGTGGTGGTTGTTGTTATTGTGGTTGTTGTGGTGGTGGTTGTTGTGGTGTTGGTTGTGGTGGTTGTTGTGGTGGTTTTTGTTATTGTGGTTGTTGTGGTGGTGGTTGTAGTGGTGTTGGTTGTGGTGGTGGTTGTGATGGTTGTAGTTGTTATTGTGGTTGTGGTTGTAGATGTTGTTGTGGTTGTTGTGGTGTTGGTTGTTGTGGTGGTTGTAATTGTTGTTGTTGTTGTGGTGGTTGTAGATGTTGTGGTTGTTGTGGTGTTGTAGTGGTGCTGGTTGTCGTGGTGGTTGTAGTTGTTGTGGTTGTTGTGGTTGTTCTGGTAGTGGTTGTGGTTGTTGTGGTGCTGGTTGTTGTGGTGGTGGTTGTAGTTGTTGTGGTTGTTGTGGTAGTGGTTGTTGTGGTGGTGGTTGTAGATGTTGTTGTGGTTGTTGTGGTGTTGTTGTAGTATTGTTGGTTGTTGTGGTGGTGGTTGTAATTGTTGTTGTTGTGGTGGTTGTGGTGGTTGTTGTGGTGGTGGTGGTTGTTGTGGTTGTTGTGGTAGTGGTTGTTGTGGTGGTTGTAGTTGTTGTGGTTGTTGTGGTTGTTGTGGTAGTGGTTGTGGTGGTTGTAGTTGTTGTTGTGGTGGTTGTAATTGTTGTTGTTGTGGTGGTTGTTGTGGTTGTTGTGGTAGTGGTTGTTGTGGTGGTGGTTGTAGTTGTTGTGGTTGTTGTAGTGGTTGTGGTGGTTGTAGTTGTTGTTGTTGTGGTTGTAATTGTTGTTGTTGTGGTGGTTGTAGTTGTTGTGATTGTTGTTGTTGTGGTGGTTGTAATTGTTGTTGTTGTGGTGGTTGTTGACCTGTGTGTCTGCAGGAGGCCCAGGGTCCTCAGGACCCAAGGGAGCTGCCGGATTCCCTGGGAGAGACGGACAACCAGGATCTCCAGGACTCATTGGTGAGCACCGCCACTCACCACTGCCACTCACCATTACTCACCATTACTCACCATTACTCACCAACACCACTCACCACGACCACTCACCAACACCACTCACCAACACTCACCACGACCACCGCTACTCACCACCGCCACTCACCAACACCACTCACCATTACTCACCACCGCCACTCACCCTTACTCACCATTACTCACCAACACCACTCACCATTACTCACCAACACCACTCACCATTACTCACCACCGCCACTCACCAACACCACTCACCAACACCACTCACCACGACCACCGCCACTCACCAACACCACTCACCATTACTCACCACCGCCACTCACCATTACTCACCACCGCCACTCACCAACACCACTCACCACGACCACCGCCACTCACCAACACCACTCACCATTACTCACCACCGCCACTCACCATTACTCACCACCGCCACTCACCAACACCACTCACCACGACCACCGCCACTCACCAACACCACTCACCATTACTCACCACGACCACTCACCATTACTCACCACCGCCACTCACCAACACCACTCACCATTACTCACCACCGCCACTCACCATTACTCACCACCGCCACTCACCAACACCACTCACCATTACTCACCACCGCCACTCATCATTACTCACCACCGCCACTCACCAACACCACTCACCATTACTCACCACCGCTACTCACTAACACCACTCACCAACACCACTCACCATTACTCACCACCGCCACTCACCAACACCACTCATCATTACTCACCAACACCACTCACCAACACCACTCACCACGACCACCGCCACTCACCAACACCACTCACCATTACTCACCACCGCCATTCACCACCGCCACTCATCATTACTCACCACCGCCACTCACCAACACCACTCACATTACTCACCACCGCTACTCACCAACACCACTCACCATTACTCACCACCGCCACTCACCACCGCCACTCACCATTACTCACCACCGCCACTCACCAACACCACCGCCACTCACCACGACCACCGCCACTCACCACCACCACTCACCATTACTCACCACCACCACTCACCACCACCACTCACCACCACCACTCACCACTACCACCACTCACCACCACCACTCACCACCACTCACCACCACCACTCACCACCACCACTCACCACCACTCACCACCACCACTCAGCCTTACTCACCACCGCCACTCACCACCGCCACTCACCAACACCACTCACCATTACTCACCACCGCCACTCACCATTACTCACCACCGCTACACACCAACACCACTCACCATTACTCACCACCGCCACTCACCAACACCACCGCCACTCACCACGACCACCGCCACTCACCACCACCACTCACCATTACTCACCACAGCCACTCACCACCGCCACTCACCAACACCACCGCCACTCACCACGACCACCGCCACTCACAATTACTCACCACCGCAACTCACCAACACCACTCACCAACACCACTCACCATTACTCACCACCGCTACACACCACCACCACTCACCACCACCACCGCCACTCACCAACACCACTCACCATTACTCACCAACACCACTCACCATTACTCACCACCACTACTCACCACCGCCACTCACCATTACTCACCACCGCCACTCACCATTACTCACCACCGCCACTCACCACCGCCACTCAGCATTACTCACCACGACCACTCACCACCACCACTCACCACCACCACTCACCATTACTCACCACCACCATTCACCACCACCACTCACCACCACCACTCACTATTACTCACCACGAACACTCACCACCACCACTCACCACCACCACTCACCATTACTCACCACCACCACTCACCACCACCACTCACCACCACTCACTATTACTCACCACGAACACTCACCACCACCACTCACCACCGCCACTCACCACTGCCACTCACCATTACTCACCACCGCCACTCACCATTACTCACCACCGCTACTCACCACCGCCACTCACCATTACTCACCACCACCACTCACCACTCACCATTACTCACCACCGCCACTCACCACCGCCACTCACCATTACTCACCACCGCCTATGACTAGCACTTGCCCCAGCCGTCAGCGTGTGCTACACGGGGGACCTTTGTCTTTCCCAGGACCTCCGGGTCAGCCGGGGTCGCCCGGATTTCCTGGAAGCAAAGGAACTCAAGGCCGTGATGGGATCCCCGGTTCCCCCGGTAGCAAAGGGGACCCAGGTAACCCCCATACCCCTTCCCACAACACAACAACAACAACCGCCGCCATTCGCCGCTAAGTGCCGGTGACGTCACCACGACGCTTGTGCCAGGCTATGTGCACGTTGAGGTTACCACATGAAGCGTCGAACGCCCGCTGGCAGGAGGTCACGGGGCAGACCCAGCAGGTGCCACGGGTCGACTGACTGAGATGACTGAGATGACTGGCTGATGCAGCACCTGTGCCCCCTACTGTGCCAACCTGCTGCGCTTTAGTCACCCGGCGCTCCGCTCGTTGTTGTGAGCATCGCTCCTCCGCCCTCCGTTGTTGTTGGAGGGCGACTGCCTCCAACTGCCCAGTAGCATCCTTCACGAGCCTCCTCCACAGAGGCCGATCTTGACACCGCTGGTACCAGTCATCGGCAAGTCCACTCAGCTCCACGTCCTCCTGTACCACATCACTCCATCTCTTCTCTAGCCCGTGCCGCGCCCGTTTAGCCCCTTCTATCTGGCCGAACAAAAGCTGTTTCGGCATGCGGTGGCTGGGCATGCAGGTTACATGACCCAGCCATCGCAGCCTTGCCTGCCGGAGGAGCTCACCGTTGGGACTTTCTGCCCAGATCTTTTAAGGATTTGCGAGCTCCTCACACAATCCAGCCTGCGGGTTAAACCCAGGATGGATTGCGTGAGTTCCATTCGGGGGGGGTCCACGTTTCGCGAGCGTGGCCGAGGAGACCTGAAGCTTAGTGCGGAGCGACAGACCAGGTAGCTTCCGACAGACCAGGTAGCTTCCGACAGACCAGGTAGCTTCCGACAGACCAGGTAGCTTCCGACAGACCAGGTAGCTTCCACACAGCATGGTGCTGGCCACCCACTCCCTCGTGTGCCACCGTGCCGGACTTCATAGCTGCTGCTACTCGCTACGAACAGCACTTGCCCCAGCAGTCTGTTGAGGCTACACGGGGGACCTTTGTCTGTGTCTACCTTCATAGCTGCTGCTACTACTCGCTACTAACAGCACTTGCCCCAGCAGTCTGTTGAGGCTACACGGGGGATCTTTGTCTGTGTCTACCTTCATAGCTGCTGCTGCTACTCGCTACTAACAGCACTTGCCCCAGCAGTTTGTAGAGGCTACACGGGGGACCTTTGTCTGTGTCTACCTTCATAGGCGCTGCTACTCGCTACTCACAGCACTTGCCCCAGCAGTCTGTTGAGGCTACACGGGGGATCTTTGTCTGTGTCTACCTTCATAGCTGCTGCTGCTACTCGCTACTAACAGCACTTGCCCCAGCAGTTTGTAGAGGCTACACGGGGGACCTTTGTCTGTGTCTACCTTCATAGGCGCTGCTACTCGCTACTCACAGCACTTGCCCCAGCAGTCTGTTAGAGGCTACACGGGGGATCTTTGTCTGTGTCTACCTTCATAGCTGCTGCTACTCGCTACGAACAGCACTTGCCCCAGCAGTCTGTAGAGGCTACACGGGGGACCTTTGTCTGTGTCTACCTTCATAGCTGCTGCTACTCGCTACGAACAGCACTTGCCCCAGCAGTCTGTTTAGGCTACACGGGGGACCTTTGTCTGTGTCTACCTTCATAGCTGCTGCTACTCGCTACGAACAGCACTTGCCCCAGCAGTCTGTTGAGGCTACACGGGGGATATTTGTCTGTGTCTACCTTCATAGCTGCTGCTGCTACTCGCTACTAACAGCACTTGCCCCAGCAGTCTGTAGAGGCTACACGGGGGATCTTTGTCTGTGTCTACCTTCATAGCTGCTGCTGCTACTCGCTACTAACAGCACTTGCCCCAGCAGTTTGTAGATGCTACACGGGGGATCTTTGTCTGTGTCTACCTTCATAGCTGCTGCTACTCGCTACTAACAGCACTTGCCCCAGCACTCTGTGGAGGCTACACGGGGGATCTTTGTCTGTGTCTACCTTCATAGGTGCTGCTGCTACTCGCTAACAGCACTTGCCCCTACAGTCTGTTGAGGCTACACGGGGGACCTTTGTCTTATATTCGACAGGGCCCTACGATGCCGGTCTGCCAGGGCCTCCTGGATCACCTGGATTTCAAGGTGGGGCCACAGGTCACGTGTATATACATACACACACTACATACACCCCACACACACACTACACACACACCACACACACACTACACACACACTATACACACACTACATACACACCAAACACACTCTACATACACACACTATACACACACTACACACACACACTACACACACACCACACACACACTACACACACACTATACACACACTACATACACACTACATACACACCACACACACTACATACACACCACACACACTATACACACACTATACACACACTACACACACACTACATACACACTACACACACACCACACACACTACACACACTACACACACACCACACACTACACACACACTATACACACACTACATACACACTACATACACACCACACACACTATACACACACTACATACACACTACACACACACTACACACACTACATACACACTACACACACCACACACACACTACATACACACACTACACACACACTACACACACACACTATACACACACTACATACACACTACACGCACACTATACACACACTACATACACACTACACACACACTATACACACACTACATACACACTACATACACACCACACACACTCTACATACACACACTATACACACACTATACACACACTACACACACACCACACACACACTACACACACACTACACACACACCACACACACACTACACACACACTACACACACACACTACACACACACACACTATACACACACTACACACACACTATACACACACTATATACACACACTACACACACACTACATACACACACTACACACACACCACACACACACCACACACACACTATACACACACACACTACACACACACACTACACACACACCACACACACCACACACACTACACACACACTACACACACTACACACACCACACACACACTACACACACACTACATACACACACTACACACACACTACACACACACCACACACACACTATACACACACTACACACACACCACACACACACTACACACACACTACACACACACCACACACACACACTACACACACACTACACACACACACTACACACACACTATACACACACTACATACACACACACACTACACACACACACTATACACACACTACACACACACTACATACACACACACACTACGCACGCACACTACGTACGCACACTACGTACACACACTACACACACACACTACACACACACACTACACACACTACATACACACACTACATATACACACACTACATATACACACGCTACATATACACACGCTACATATACACACACTACGCACACACACTACGCACACACACTACATACACAAACACACACTACATACACATACACACACTACACACACACACTACACACACACACTACATATACACACTACACACACACACTACATATACACACTACATATACACACACTACATACATACACTACATACACATACACACACTACACACACACACTACACACACACCACACACACACACTACATATACACACACTACATATACACACTACACATACACACTACACACACACACTACATACACACACTACATACACACACTACATACACACACACTACATACACACACTACATACACACACTACATATACATACACACACTACATATTCATACAGACAACAACAACAACCGCCAATCGCCACCAAGTTGCGGTGACGTCACCACGGCGCTTGTGCCAGGCTATGTGCACCTTGAGGCCACGTGACGTGTCGAACGCCCGCTTGCAGGAGGTCACGTGGACAGACCCAGCAGGTGCCATGGGTTGACCGACTGAGATGAGTGGCGGATGCACCACCTGTGCCCCCTACTGTGCCAGGCTAGGTGCACGAGGTCACGGGGACAGACCCAGCAGGTGCCATGGGTTGACCGACTGAGATGACTACTGGCAGATGCACCACCAGCTGTGCCCCCTACTGTGCCAGGCTAGGTGCACGAGGTCACGGGGACAGACCCAGCAGGTGCTATGGGTTGACCGACTGAGATGAGTGGCCTATGCACCAGCTGTGCCCCCTACTGTGCCAGGCTAGGTGCAGGACAGACCCAGCAGGTGCCATGGGTTGACCGACTGAGATGACTACTGGCAGATGCACCACCTGTACCCCCTACTGTGCCAGGCTAGGTGCAGGAGGTCACGGGGACAGACCCAGCAGGTGCCAGGGGTTGACCGACTGAGATGACTGAGATGGCTGGCAGATGCACCACCTGTGCCCCCTACTGTGCCAGGCTAGGTGCACGAGGTCACGGCACCACCAGCTGTACTCCCCCTAATCTCT